TATGACCTGGAACTCACTATGTAGCCCAGGCTGGTCTCGAACTCACAGTGATCCTCCTGCCTCAGCCTCCCAAGTGCTGGGATTATAGGCGTGCACCGCCACACCCGGCCTCAGAAATATTTGTTATAAAATTTTTCATTGGTTTTCATTTGTGCCAACTGTCTTATCCCTGTCTACCAAAAACCTTCTCAGTACCCAAATATTAATGCTATCATTATATGAATAGAGGTTTTTTCCACATATAACATAAAGCTCCTATTCTGTATATTAACAGAATATTTTTCTTTTATATCTTCACTTCTGTATCTTCCTTGTTTTGCATTTACTTTGTTAAATTTACTCCTATTTTTAAAAAACTTATTCAATTTTAACTGATAAATACCATGATAAAAAAGAAACACCATGACATTTATTTCAAAAGAAATACAATGACTTATTTCCTTCTACTCTCTCTAAGTATATTTGATTAATGTGAAATACTGTATTTAAATTTAGTTTCATTTAAGAAATAAGCAGAGCACTGAGAGAATTATAGTTTTGCTGATTTTAATTCTTTTCTTGGCCGGCTGGGGACATAGGTTAGTGGTAGAATGTTTGCCTAGCAAGCACAAAGCACTGTGTTCTAACACCAGCACCAACTGAAAAAAAAAAAAAATCCTCATTTCCTTAAGTAAAATATTGTTGTATTACAGAAAAAAGATTCAAGTGGTTGTGTATATTTTCAGAGAAATCAACTCATTATGTTTAATTTCTACTAATTTTCATTTCCTTTTTTTTTCTTTGTTTAGTGCTGGAAATTGAACCTAGAGCTTACACATACTTTTAAGGTTTTCTGTTTTGTTTTCATTTTGGTACCAGGGGTTGACCTTGCAGTTGTGAGGCAGGCGGTAGAACCACTGAGCTAAATCCCTGGCCCCCATACTTTTAAGTTTTAAAAGTTAATAGCAGGCTGAGGGTATTGCTTAGTGGTAAAGTGCTTGCCTACCATGTGTGATGCCTGTTTGATCCTTGACATCACAAAAAATTTAGTATCATTCACTCCTGGTGTGGTAGTATGCACCTGTATTCCCGCGTACTCACAAGCCCAAGGCAGGAGAATCACTTGAGCCCAGAAGTTGGAGGTCAGCCCTGGCAACATAGGAAGATCCCATCGCAAAAAAATAAAAAAGAGAAAAAGAAAAGGAAAATATTTTTTAAATGTTAATATCATTGGAATAACATATAGTTTTCAAAAAAAGTGATATATTAGCTGTTAATGAAACACAAATGTGTATATGTATCCACACATAATTGTTCATATTTCAGTCAACAATATACAGTACATGATCAGTAATATACACCATATAGCCCAGGCATATAGTAGGCTTACCACTTAGGTTTGTGTAAATACACTCTGATGTTTACACAGTGATGAACTTGCCTAATAACAATGCATTTCTCAGAAAGTATCCCCATCATTACACAATGCATGACTGTACTGAAACAACTGAACACAAAATATTATGCAAATACTGGTTTGTTTAGTTCAGTGTTGCTGAGACAGGGTCTAACTGTGTTGCCCATGGTGGCCCCAAACTCCCAGGCTCAAGCCACCCTCCTTCCGCAGCCTCCTGAGCAGCTGGAACTGCAGGTGTATGCCACTCTGCCTGGCATGTTGATATAGCTAACAGTGGCCAGCCTCCAAGATGCCATCCATTAATCTTCACCACTTGCTATCATGCATTTGTGCAACTCCCTTGTACATTTCATCAGAGTTGGTTTGTATGACTGTTAGTTAGCTGCGTGGTGCCCTGCCTACCTCGCAAGTACAAGGTCCCAAGTTCGATCCCTGGTACCCACCCCCGAAAAAAAGGAAATGGTAGTGTACACTCCTAGGGCTAAGACATACAAGACATTGGTGCTTTTCCCTTGCTCTTCTTGGATCACCCACTCTGGAAGAAAGCAGCCATTGTATTGTAGAGAAAGACAATGAAGCAGTCTAATGGAGCGTTCACACGGGTAGAAACTGAGGAATCGACAACAGCCAACAACAATTTGCTATTTATTTGTTTGTTTTTTCTTTGGTTTTTTGAGACAGGGTCTCACTATGTAGTTGCGACTGACCTGGAACTCACTATGTAGCCTAGGCTGGTCTCGAACTTGCAGCGATCCTCCTGCCTCAGCCTCCCAAGTGCTGGGATTACAGGCATGTGCCACCATGCCCAGCTTTATTAGATGCTTCTTAATTGATAGTTCAGTGCCCAGCTTTCTAAATTCCATCTCAGCCAGGCATCGTGGTGTACACCTGTTACTCCAGCACTAGGGAGGCTGAAGCAGGAGGATTGCTGTGAGTTCAAGGTCAGCCTGGACTATGTAGTGAGACCTCATCTCAAAAAACAAACTGCTGGGGTGGGGTATTGCACACCTGTAACCCCAGCACTCAGGTGGTCGAGGCAAGAGGATCTCTGTGAGTTCAAGGCCAGCCTGGATTACCTAGCTAGTTTAAGGGCAACCTAAATGACATAGCTAAACCCTGTCTCAAATAAATAAATAAATAATTTCCATGTCAGGGATGAAAACTACTGACTTCTAACTTCCCTGCTCTTTGGCTAACATAAAGACAATACAAAATTTGGTTCTTGAGCAACTTCTGCCCTGTGAGCAATAATTCTTTTTGTTGTCATTTAACTGTCATAAAAATAGGTGAACCAGACAATCATATACCTAGGAAAAGGTGAAGGGTGGAGTAAAGCATAAAGAGGGGAATGAGTTAGCAAAAACTCCACCCAGTTACAGACTAGCACAAAGGTGACTACCGTTTGTGTAGTTAGCTTTATTCACTGGAGCTCAAAGAGGAGCAAAGAGCAGAGGCAGCCACCAGGGAAAGCGGGACTTCACAGCAGGCAGCAGGCACAGGTGAGTACCTGGACGGGACCCCGCTCCTTGACATGTGGTCTCTCAGGCTCTAGGGAACAGGGAAGAAGAGAAGCCAGAGTCTGCAGTTTTGGGATGGCTGGGTGGGAAGGACTAGTGTTTGCAATAGGTGTAAAGAAACACAAAAGGGACCACAGAAGGAAATGGGCAGAGTGAGTGACAAACACTGGCTGGCACCAGTGTCTCGGAAAAGAATTGAAAAAAGAAAAGGAATTAAAGAAGGAGCTTTTTGGGGTATGGGTAAAAGATGTTGAGAAAATCAGTTGTGAAGGGTGGGTTTAAATATACCGATGCATTTTCCCTAGGCTATAAAAAAGCAAACAAAAAACTTGACTATCTGCATTACTTTGAATAGAATATGAAATCTGACACTTTTTTACAAATGATACCTTTATGTAACTGACACATTTGGAAAAAAGACACCCAGCTTAGAATCCTGACCTTCCAGTGGTTGGGTGATTAATCATTTGGAAAGAAATTAGTTGTTATAACTAGGTAAAATCTAGTGTTTGAGTTACAGGATCCTTGTTTATCCCTAGTTTGTTTTAGCACTATTCTAGCACTACAGGTACAACAAAAACAAAACAAAATCTCTGCAGACACGTGAGGTGTGATTTTAAAAACGTACAGTGACTAATCTTTTTTTTAAATTACAGTGAAAGGCTTATTGCCATTAATCGCCCTCAGAATGCTCCCCCTCACTTTGAACACATGTATCCCATGGTTGTGCCTTTTCTGAAACAGTTCTGCAAGTCCTTTTTTGTATCTCGCTGTGCTGTTGTGGCTTCCTCAGTGTCCTGAATTAATTCAAAAGTATTTAATGGTCACTTTGACTTTGGGAAAGAGCCAGAAGCCATATGGTGCCCGATCCTGTACATAAGGACAGCGACACACCATGATGTTTCTCTGTAGGGTAGAATTGCCATTCACCATATTTTTGACCATACCTCATAAAGACACAAAAGAAGACTTCAGAAAGTGCCAAGAACAATGGGATGAGTGTGTTCGAATCAAGAGGAAGTATTTTCCTTTCTCTTGAGATAGTCTCACTATGTAGTTCAAGATGACCTTGAACTCACTTTGTAGCCCAGGCTGGCCTCAGAACTGGTAGCAATCCTCCTGCATCAGCCTCCTGAGTATTAGGATTACAGGCCTGTAGTACCATGCCCAGCTAATAATGCTTTAAATTTAAAACATTTGGTGTATATTTTGATCACCCCTTGTACAGCTTATATGGGAAGTGGAAGTAGGGGAAAGCAAGAAATATGAAAATAAAAGCAGTAAATTATATAGTGTGTTGGATAATCAAAGTGCTGTGGAGGAGAGCAAGGGATGAAAGGGGGAAGACAGAGGGAAATGCTATAGAGAGGAAAAGGATCGTAGAAAGTGCGTGTGGCCAGGTGAGTTAGAATTTTAAAAAGGGAGGACAGGGAAGGTTTTACAAATTGACATTTGAGTAAATATTTTTTAAAAGTAAATGAGCAAGCTGTGCAGATTAGGGTCATGTAAAATAGGATGCTGTTCTACAAACTCAGAATTATGTTTTTTTAATGCCATTTTTAAGACAGCTGATCTTAAAGAAAAGTGAGGGTGGAAGTGTTGGAAGGTCTGTGCCAGGCCGGGGATTCAGCTCAGTGGTGCCGCCTCCTGCCTCACAAGCTCAAGGACCGGAGTTCGATCCCCGGTACCAAAAAACAAAACAAAAATAAAAATAGTTTATGTGTTGCTCCTTTGCTTGCCTCAAATCTTTTGTTTGTTTTGTGCTCAACACCTGGTATGACTCTGCAGTTTTTTCTCCATGTAAATGGATACCTAGGGTGCATTTTTCCCCTCTTTAAATCTTTCCTGGAAGGAAAACAAATGTTTGCTTAGTGGAAATAGAAGCTGTAGAGCTTTTTTTTAGAAACCACGAGAAAAAGATAACAGAAGTATGAGTGACCCCTGAAAACACTGCACTCCCAGAAAGGGAGGAAAGCTGGTGCTTGGAGCACCTCTCATGCTGAGAGCGAAGAGATACCAAGTGATGGACAAAGCAAGAGTCCACTGTTGATACGCAGGGTCTAAGACGAAGCTGTTTCTGTTTTCAGTCATTTAGATTGATCTACATGACCATCCTGTTTGCTGTAAGAACCAGCCAAAGAGAATGTTTTGAGACGTGAGTATGAATCTGGCCAGGCAACTGCCCTGTTTTAGTGGTTGACTTCCTGGGATGAAATTTCCTTTGTTTGGGATTCTGAGAGTTGAACAGTTCTCATTGTTTCTCTAGCCAGTAGCTCTCATTCATTCTTAGCCACAGGATAGAAGTTCAGCCTTGAATAGTGTTCAAAAGGATGATTCTAATCTGCCTTTTTAGTACCAAGAACTCTAGTTATTTTAAATATATCTAAGCTCCAAACACAATTAACTTTCATTTATTTTATATAATACAGCACCTCTGGGAAAGGAGGCTTTGGGGAGGGTGCCGGGGTTTGAACCTAGGGCCTTCACACTGAGCACCCAGCCCTTTTAAATTTTTTATTATTTTTGTTTTAAAATTTTGAGATAGACTGGGCTTGACATTATTTATTTATTTAGAGACAGGGTCTTGCTATGGAGTGCAGGCTGGTCTTGAACCATTATGTAGCACAGGTAGGTTTTGAACTTGCAGCAATCCTGCCTCAGCTACCACTCCCAGGATGGGCTTGAATTTACAGTCCTCCTGTCTCAGCCTTCTAAAGTGCTGGGATTACAGGTATGAGCCACCAGTTCCAGAAGTTAGGCATTTTGATTAAATGAACCATAGGTGGTCAAAAAACTTGATAATGCCTTAATGTCAACTCCAAATGTACCAAAGAGATGGTAAGAATAAAAGATAACAGGAGTGGGAAATGGAAACTTTGGAATCAGATCTTGTCACTTAATTTGTAACTGACTACTCCAGAAATCCAGACAAGAAAAGTAGATTAGAAGACCCACAGCTGTTTTCTCTGTTTAATACCAAGAGAAAATACAGCCTGGACAGGAGGTAGTTGAGTGTTGAGAGATGTCTTTGGTTGGTGAGTGGGAAGGGAAGGGGGATGGCTGCAGAGTCTGCTAATTAACCTACCGTATACAGACAGCCCCACAACGAAGAATTATCCAAATGTCAGCAGGGCCAAAGCTGAGAAACCCTGACTTTGAGGAACTCTAGTTCCCCTGTACAGATGAGATAGGGTGCAGCCTGAGCATTCCAGGAGACCTGCTACAAATCTCCAAAACAGAAAGCACTTAATTATTTTGTTTCTGATTTAATGTCCCTTTGGGAGAAAAGAAAAAAATAAAGTTTAATTAAAGCAACTACATAGATTGGATCCCATTATTGCATTAAACTCTGCTGAGTGTTTTTATCATGGGCTTCAAGAACATTTAAAATTCACTATAATGTCTTTGGTGCAGTGTTGAAAAGTAAGCCTTATGAACATTTTAAAAATTATTTACCAATAATGATAACAAAACCTACTCTATCCTATTCTGCTTTTGGTTTTTTGAGACAGGATCTCACTATGTAGTTGAGACTGACCTGGAACTCACTGTGTAGCCCAGGCTGGTCTCAAACCAGGAGGCGATCCTCCTGCCTCGGCATCCCGAGTGCTGGGATTACAGGCATGCGCCACCACGCCTGGCTATCCTATTCTACTTTTTACAGCCTCGGTCCTGGAAAAAACACTAAAAATGCTAAAAGGTGTTATGTTCAAATAATGCATTATAATTTAAAAACAAACCAAACTGATACACATATGAACCCACATATGTATATGTGCATATCATTTGATTTTCCTAATAACCATGGAAGAAAGGGAGGGCAGGTGCTCTTATTCTAACTTTACAGATGGAAATGGAGTCTCAGACACTACGTGACTTACTTAAGATTAGACAGAAATGTAGGACTGAAACCCAGTAGCCCTGACCTGACCCTTTGTGCTCTCTGTACTGTTCCATGTCCTTTCTCTGGGTTTCCAGAAGCATGTGTATTTAGCTCCATAATATACAAATTCAAAACACATAATGTCAAACACAATACTTTTTTTTTTGTCTCTGCTGAGGACACACTAAAAAACCCAAGCAGTAACTTGTCTTAAGGGAGGTATCTGGAGTCGGAAAAAAAGGTTAGGCAAGACTGAAGACTGATTTCTGAGTTGGATCTCATTACTCTCTTGCCTTATGACTTGCAGCAAGTCCTAGACCCTCTCTGCCTTCATTTGACCATCTTCTCTCACTCAGTTCTCTGGTAATGAATAATGTGGCCTGAAACCTATGAAGGCAGTCTTTAAAACCTGTAATGATCTACTAAAGTTTTACAGTTCAGTTTATTTATTTCCTTGAAATAGTGCATCACTGGCATCAATGTTGATCACAGATGATAGTCCAGTGGCTTGATTTTTGAAGGCTGTGAACATCCCAGTGATAGGGCTTTTATAACTTCTTTGTAACTTTATAAATTTAATTCAGAAGTTGAAGCTTCTTAGCAATCAAAGAAGGACGAATGGAGGAAAAGAAAATGAGAGAAAGAAAAAAAGTAACATCTAAAAGCAAAATTGTCAAAATAGAAAAAAGAAAATTATAGTGAACTATAGGAGGCAGAGAGCCTTTGAATATGTGAGAACCATCTTACAATTAAAAGCAAAGCATGGGGCCGGGGATTTTGCTCATTGGTTCTGCTGCCTGCCTCGCAAGCACAAGGATCAGAGTTCGATCCCTGGTACCCAAAAAATAAAATAAATAAAAAAGCAAAGCGTGGGTGGGGCCCAGGATTTAGCTCAGTGGCACTGTGCGTTCCTCCCAGGTGTGGGGCCCTGAGCAATCTCTGATACAAGAAAACAACTAAAAAAAAAGAAGTGTGAAAAAATATATTTTAGATCTCAGTTTTGGATACTCTTCAGAAAAGGTGCTAAGAGTTTGTATTACTCTGGTTTAGCTTGTTGTACTGGTTATTTGAAATAGAGAAGCAACACCTTGGGAACAGGTTGGGATTTCCATACTAGTGTTTCTCTTGCAGGTTAGCCGAATAAGCCTATTGGACTAACCTTGTGTGTCTTTGTCCTGAAAGTTACCACAGGAGTGTGAGCAGCACAGCGCCCACAGCAAAGCCTGGCATTACCACACCTTGGGAAGAGCATGGCCACTACTCGGAGCGCAGCCCTTTTCATGCTGGTGATATCCTGTGTTTGCAGCACAGTCTTCCACAGAGACCAGCAGACTTGGTTTGAGGGTATCTTCCTATCTTCCATGTGCCCCGTCAATGTCAGCACCAGCACCTTCTATGGGATTATGTTTGATGCGGGGAGCACTGGAACTCGAATTCATGTTTATACCTTTGTGCAGAAAATACAAGGTAAGTGCAATGGTACCTTGCCAGAGTCTGTGAATCCATGCTTTAGCATTCCCTCTCATAAACAGAAGTGCTGAGGTATGATGTAGAGTCAGGAATCTCACAACTATTGAGTGTGTTCAGAGAACATTTTGGGCTTTAATCAAACAGTTACAATTTTTTTTTGGTACCAGGGATCAAACTCAGGACCTTCCACTTGTGAGGCAAACTTGGAATAACTGAGCTAAATCCCCAGCCCTCAAGCACATAATTTAATTCGATGTGCAGTTAAGAGGAATTTGGGCTGCCTATAGTCTGAAACCCATATGTCCAGGAATAGCTCATTTGCCCTTTTCTCTGAAGTTGGTTAATGCTCTAGGGATCCAGAATATTGAGAATATTGAGAGTGATCTTGGGGAAAGGATCAGTGGGAGTTTCCCTGTCATCCTTGGAGAAGGGACTAAGGGGACCTTGAAGATTAACTTTTTCTGAATTGTCCCCCATGGAGCCTGGGAAAAGGAGTAGAAGTTAGGCATCTACCTGAGAAATGACACAGGCCCTTAAGGGTTGCCACCTAATTTTCCTTCCAAATTCTTCAGCAAGACAGTGCTTGCAGGTGGGATTATCAGGGGAGAAGAGTAAGTTAATTTAGTAAGTCACAGATGACCTACACAGCCTAGCAGCCTAACTTTCGGTAATCAGCCAACTCCCTTCTTTTTGTCCTGGGGACAAAATAGGACAGCTTCCAGTTCTGGAAGGGGAAGTTTTTGAATCTTTGAAGCCAGGACTTTCTGCTTTTGCAGATCAACCAAAGCAGGTGAGTATCCTGTGATTTGATGTTTAGAGTCTCAGTGCCTTGATAACTTAACCATGCCATTATTAATACCTATTGTTAATTATGAATACCTATTAAATACTTCATGCTGTTCATGAAATAATTTTGAGAGCATGTATGAGATCAGTGTCCTCTCCTCAGTCTCCTGGATAGCAGTAGTTATATTTATCAGGTTCACTAGTGCTGAAGAGGAGACTAGAAAATAAGTTGTATTCATGCAGGATGGCACCAGCTTTTAAGAGATTGCTCTTTTTGTATTTACTGTATAGGATTTTGAGTCGAAGCCAACTACAGCATTAGTCAATGTAAATACAGAAGATAGGCACGAAGTTCTATAGCATATGAAGTATACACATAGCAGTTGAGGGGTAGAGAATTTCATTTCAGAGTGCCTCATTAAGAAGGGAACCTCGCCTGTTCCTGAGAAATTTGGCAGCAGCCCATGACAACAGAACTCTTTGGTAGTAGAAGGTGGAGTTTATGGTGCCTGGTGGCTATATCTGTCATTTCAGCCACCCACAATATACTATACCCAGTGTGTCTGGTGCCAACACAACTGAAATAAAGTGAGGCAGAACTTTTTTTTTAAAAAAGGCAGAATGTTGAACTTTGGTAGTAGATATAAGGTATTGGTCAATGTCACAGAATAATCATTAACCAAGGTAAAACCTGTCATTAAGAATGGGTTGTCAGGCATGGTATGTACACCTGTAATCCCAGAACTTATGAGACTGAGGCAAGAGGATCGTGAGTTTGAAACGAGCCTGGATGTAATAGCAAGATCCTGTCTAAAAAAACTAAAAAGCTGCCAGGGATTTACCTCCACCTGCCTCACAAGTGCAAGGTCCCAAGTTTGATCCCTGGTACCAAAAAACAAAACTAAACTAAACTAAAAAGTAAACAGAGAAATAAAGGGCTTGAAAGTCCACTGAGTCGAATGCACATCTTGTCCCAGATTCAGAAAGCTGCAGCGGGAGGATCCCTTAAGTCCAGAAGTTCAGACCAGCACAGGCAAAATAGTGAAACCTTGTGTTTAAAAAAAAAAAAAAAAAAAAGAATAAAAAGGAGAGGGAAATGTTTTGAGCTTGAAAACTGAGCGGACATATTCTCTCGGTTCATTGTCACCTGAAATGGCAAATGCAGCATAAAATTAGAGCTGTTGACATCAACTATGTTATCAGAGAATTTGAAATTTAGAAAGGATTGTGTTGTGGTTGCAATACTGGGACCACTGTGCCACTGGCCTATATCCTCAGCCCTTTAAAAAATTTTTTTCATACTGAGACAGGGTCTCACTCATTTGCCCAGACTGACTTCAAACTTGTGATCATCCTGTTTCAGCCTCCCAAGTAGCTGGAATTACAGGTGTGTACCATCACACCTAGCTGAAGTATTAGATTTTTACAAGTGATTTTCACTTACCAAAAATGGAGCTTCTACTGGGTGCCATGCATTGTAGATGATAGTGATCCAAAAATGAGCCTGACACACTTTGTTCTTAAGGAGATCGTGAAAGTGTAGTGTAACAGCTATGGACACCATTTTGCCTTGTCTAATATGTCCAGCAGCTTAGTGGTGGTACGAGGTATATGTCCCACCTCTCACCAAGGAAACCAAGACCTGGGTAGGCCTGGTGACGCATGTTAGGTTGCTGGGCTAGCAAGCAAGCCTGACTTCAATTCCTGAGTGCCTTGCACTATACATAACTTTCTGACCTCAACTGAATTTATTGAGACGTAAGACAACAATCATTGAACATGGTGGCTCATACATGTAATCCCAGCACTCAGGAGGCTGAGGCAGGAGGATGGTCATGCGTTCTGTATAGTGAGTTCAAGGACAGCCTGAACTACATAGTGAGGCACTATCTAAAAAACAAAACCAAACCAGTTAAAATGACCACACTATAAAAGAATAGCTTTTATTACAGCTATCAAAATGAAATGGAACTGGGCCTGGTGGTTCAAGCCTATAAACCTCAGGAAGCTGAGACAGAAGAATTGCAAGTTTAAGACCAGCCAGACTATAAAGTGAGACCCTGTCTTAAAAAGCAAACAAAATTCAATGGATATTTCTGGAGCGCACCCTACTTCTCTAGGTTTGTGCTGTCACAGGGCAGAGAGGAGTTGGAGGCTTCCGCCTCAGCTGTGTTGCTCCCCCCAGACCAGTGCTGCCGGTGGACTGCTCATTGGATGAATAGGTTCTCTCTTTTGAAGGGTGCTAAGACTGTTCAAGAACTGTTAGAGGTGGCCAAAGACTCCATCCCTCGAAGTCACTGGAAAAGGACCCCTGTGGTGCTGAAGGCAACAGCAGGGCTGCGCTTACTGCCAGAACAGAAAGCCCAGGCTCTGCTATTTGAGGTAATTTTTGAAATCTGCCTCTTTGATAATTCTATTTTTTCCTCCATATGAATATTCTATTTTCTGTCCAAAATTATGTCCATTTTAGCTGGGCGTGGTGGCGCACGCCTGTAATCCCAGCACTCGGGAGGCTGAGGCAGGAGGATCCCTGTGAGTTTGAGACCAGCCTGAGCTACATAGTGAGTTCCAGGTCAGTCTCAACTATATAGTGAGACCCTGTCTCAAAAAACCAAAAAAAATTACGTCCATTTTAAGTATACAAATATATTTGACAATTATAGAAGTTTCCTTGTCTATTTCCCCACCCCTGAAATCAAGAAACCCCTGATCTTCTTTCTGTCATTATACACAAGTTTAGCTTGTTCTGACATTTCATGTGAATGGAATCATACAGTTCACATTTTCTTTTTTTATCTGGATTTTTCCTCTTAGCATTAAAGTTTTTGAGAATTGTGGAATTTTTGCTTTTGTTTTTTCCCTATGTAGTTCATGCTAGCCTTGAACTCATTATTTAGTCCAGGCTGGCCTTGAACTCTTGGTGATCCTCCTGCCTCGGCATCCTTAATGCTGAGATTACAGGCATTTACCACTATGCATACCAAATTTGAAATATTTATTTATTCATTTGTTTTTGTTTTGGGTTTTTTTTTTGTTGTTTGATTTTTGTTTGTTTGTTTTGCAGTACTGGGGGATCAAACTCAGGACCTTGCATTTGCAAGGCAGGTGAGGTGCCATTTAACTAAATCCTTGGCCCAATTTGAAATATTTTTAAAAGTCATTTATTTTTTAAAATTTTAAAATATTTTAGAAGTCATTTCTGTGTTTGTTTGTTTTTTGGTACCAGGGATCAAACTCAAGTCATTTCTTTAAATCCTCTTTTTTGGGGTTTTTTTTGTTTTTTTTGTTTTTTTTTGAGACTGGGTCTCACTAGGTAGTTCAGACTGACCTGGAACTAACTCAATATGTAGCCCAGGCTGGTCTTGAATTCATAGCAATTCTCCTGCCTCAGCCTCCTGATAAATCCTCTTTTTCTATTCAGATGAAAAATTTATAGAGTTTTATATTGGTCTTTGTCGGGGGGGGGTACTGAGGATAGAATTCAGGACCTTGCACTTGCAAGGCAGGCATGTTACCACTGAGCTAAAGCCCCAGCAGCTATAGAGTTTTATAAACTTAGTACTTAAAATAAAAACACACAGTATTTATTTAATTTTTTTTTTTTTTTTTGGTGCCAGGGATCAAACTCAGGACCTTGCACTTACAAGGCAGGTGCAGTGCCACTGAGCTAAATCCTGGCTCATAGTATTTAAATTTCACTTTGTAAAGAATATTTATAGCCAGAACCCTATCATTAAAATTAAAAAACCACAGCAAGAAAGGATTTTGTATTACAGCTGTGCTATTCGTACTCTGACTTGATTTTCCTTTGACTGTCAGCACAGAGGACTTAATGTCCTTTCTCCAAGGACAAACAGCCTAGCACGTCTGTGTGAAAATCCAAACCTCGATCCTTTGTTTATTTATCTACTACATGAGTACTGGGGGCTGGGGATGTTGCTGGGATGCCGCAGCAGGGAAAAAAGAAGATGAACACTGTCTTCCCTGTGGGGTTTGTATTCCAGTTTCAGGGAAACAAAATAAACAGCTGAACAACTTAGTGCAAAGTGTGTCAGGCACTGTAGATGCTATGGAGAGAAACAGCAGGGTACAGCAGGCCTGGAGTGCTGGTGCAGCTGAGGGCAAAGATGCTATTTTAGATAGAAGTCAGCAAAACCTTTTTGATAAGACTGATTTGAGCCAGTGTAGTGGCCCACGCCTCTCATCCCAGCACTCAGGAGGCTGAGGCAGGAGGATTATTGCAAGTGGATGCCAGCCTGAACCACAGTGAGACCTCATCTCAAAACAAACAAAAGATTCATTTGATCAGAGGGAGATCTGAGGGTAATGAGAAGCACTTGTATAAGATATTTATGAGAAGAATATTTCAGCTAAAGAAATGGTGCAGAGGTCAAAGTGAGGAACACGTCCAGTATGTTCAGAGCTGCATCCAGGAGGTCAGCTCGAGGTGACTTGGCAGTGAGAGGGAAGTGGGAGTAGAGGGTAATGTATCATAGAGGCTCCCAAAGTGAAGACTTTGGCTTATTCTCTAAGAAGGAAGCTCGTAGAAGGTTTTGAGCTAAAGAGAGATCTCATGTCCATTTTAAAAACACCACTCTGAGTTGGGCATGGCAGCACACACCAGAAATCTTAGCTACTCATAAGTCTGAGGCAGGAAGATTACAATTCAAGGCCAGGCAACTTAGCAAGACCCTGTCTTAAAAAAATGGGCCTTGGGGAAAAAAAATAGGCCTGGGGATGTCGCACTGGTGCTTGCCTAGTAAGCAGGAGGCCCTGGATTCAATCTCCAGTACTGCAGTAAATAAACAGATAATAAAAGCACCCTTCTGGCTGCTATGTTGAGAACGAACTGGGGTGGAAAAGCGGAGGGGAGAAGGCAAGAGCAGAATTTGCTTATTACTGTTTGCTTATCTGTCTTCTCAAAAGCTTGCTTATAGAGCATGGAACTGGCTTTCCTGGGTTGAAGCAGGGTCCAGAGGTCACCGCTTGATGTGACCATAACAAAATAAGCCATGGCAAACATATCATTGGTTGTATTTATGAGGAATCGAAAGCATTTGTGGGGGATCTTGGTTCCCTCCTCCTAACACAGGATCTGTAAGTCTAGGTCTGGGTCCTAAGACACCAGCGGTCCCAGCTAGGTGTCAGCATCCAACCAGGGGCTGGTAGCAGATTGCCTCAGCTTTGGGAGCTCTTCCGCCCCAGCACGTCCCTCTGCTCATGTGAGGAGTCACTGGGAGAGGCTCCTCCCCACGTCCCGTGCGTGCCCAGGTGGACTTAATCAAGGGCTTTTCCACAAAACTTTAGAATCCTGATTGGCATGGCAGGGTCAGATATACGCTTATTCCTAAGTCCAATTAATCTATAAATTTAATGGCTTGATAGAGATTTACTTTATAGTCAAAGGAATCCTTGGGTTTGTGTTTTTGCAGGAAAATAGTAATGGCTGCCTAATTCTGCTTCTGCTAAAAATGTATCTAAAGAAAATAAAGTAGTTTTGTAAGCCTTGTAGAACACAACTAAAATGTGCACATCTGGGGGTTTTGGTTTTTTTGTTTTGTTTTGTATTTTTGAGACACGGTCTTGCTGTGTAGCACAGGATGGCCTCGAACCCACAGTGATCCCCCTGCTGTTGCCTCCAAAGTGCTGGAATTACAGGCCTGCACCACAATGGAATTACAGGCTGCACATCTGTTTTATTACCTCAGGGAATCCAGATTTTTTTTCCTCTTTCATTTTAGGTGGAGGAGACCTTCAAGAAGTCACCTTTCCTGGTTCCTGATGACAGTGTTAGCATTATGGATGGCTCCAGTGAAGGTGGGCAGACTGGGGAAATAACAGTCACTGAAAGATTAAAGAGCCTGGGACTGGGATGGAGTGCTAAAGAAAAAGGAACTAAATAAGGAGAAACAATAGGAAAGAGGAATGGGATAGCAGAAAATACGGCCACACAGAAAAAGGGAAACATATATTCTAATTATGAAATTTCAAAGATTGAACCAGGAAAAAAGTGCTCTAGAGTGTAATCCTTGTCTTTCTCTCTTTTAGGCATATTAGCCTGGATTACTGTGAATTTTCTAACAGGTAATTACATTGAATATGATGTTATCTTAGCACTCCTACAGCAGAAGAGTGCAAATTTGAGGCTAGGTCTCAGAAGGAGGGGTGTGGGGAAGGACCTTCTCTGGCATAAAAGATTGGAAGACCGAAAATCCTTTCTTTTTTTCCTGTATTGTACTTTATTTACAAAAGAGAGTGAGAAGCTGGGCGTGGTGGCACATGCCTGTAATCCTAGTACTTGGGAGGCTGAGGCAGGAGGATCACTGAGTTTGAGGCAGCCTGGGTTACCATAGTGAGACCCTGTTGAGAGGAGTGGGGGAGGAAGAGAGATCAGAGTATAGTGTGGGGAGTTAGCTCAGTGGCACCGTGCCTGCCTGGCAAGTGCAGGGTCCTGAGTTTAATCCCCAATACCAAAAAAAAAAAATTACAAAATACAAGGGGCTGGGGATGTAGCGCAGTGGTAGAGTACTTCAGGGTTCAATTCCTAGTACTGTCCCCACAAAAAGTAGAAAAACACAAAGATAATAGTTATAACTGTCTTTAAGGTGTCTTCTGCTCCGCTCCAAGAGTCCCCCTGACTTGACACCTGCAGCCTTGAGGCCGGGGGCAGTGTGTATTTATGGAATACCTTGGTGTACGAGAGCAGGAGAGAATTGCCCGAAAGTGGGTATAGGGCTCTGCAGATGTGGGAGACATTCTGAGCCCTCTTTTAACAGGTCAGCTGCATAGCCGTGGCCAGCAGACTGTGGGGACTCTGGACCTGGGAGGGGCTTCCACCCAAATCACATTCCTGCCCCAGTTTGAGGTGAGTCATTCGCATGGTCTGTTAGCAGCACACTCGGCAGGCATATGATGGCATCAAGAAAGTGGTGCCCTGTTGCCCAGCAGCAGCTCCACCACAAACAGGCTGAGTCATCGTGACTGGCAAGCTTCCCCTTGCCGTCTTGCTGTTCAGAGTCCCTTCGATTTCTCAAGCCTTGTGAGGTTGGCAGCTTCACCTGTCTCCATCTCTGATTTGTCGGGGAGGGACAGGGATGGTGGTGATAAGAGTGTTAGACAATTCAAAATCCTGAATAGTCTTTTTGCTTTTTCTGATTTGCAGAAAACCCTGGAACAAACCCCTAAGGGCTACCTCACTTCTTTTGAGATGTTTAACGGCACTTATAAGCTGTATACACATAGGTGAGGAAGGGGACAGGGAAGCAGATTTCACATCGTATGATTTTCCTAACTTGCCAAGGCATTCTCAAACCTGTTACTGCATTTGATCAGCTTTATCTTTGCCAGTCCCCTAAGACCCCTCAGCAGAAACCTATGACACTTACCCATCCCAAGGGACCCGACAGCCTTCTCCATTTCTGTCAGAAATATATGTGTTAGAAGACTCAAACATGGAGAAGGCTCAGCAAAGCTCCATACCAACTCTGCCTGGCATCTGAACCCCCTTAGGGCGAGGCTTTTCTGAGGGTGGCTTCCAAGGTGGGACCCTAGGAAGAATCGCTGTTGCTGACCTTTGAGTTGGACCTGTGGGCAGTTCTTACTGCACAGCCTTGATCAAAAGGTACAGACATTTCCTCTTTTTGACCACATGAGATAAGTAAGTCAGAAATATAACAAGGTTTTCATCTCCAAAGGGAGATACATACTACCTTTGAAACACGCAGTTTAGGGCTGGAGAACATGAAGACTAGCAAGAGATTGGTCAATCCTATATTTTACAGTTACTTGGGACTTGGATTGAAAGCTGCAAGACTAGCAACCCTGGGAGCCCTGGAAACAGAAGGTTTGCCTGGGTACCTTTGCTGGGTGGGGGTTGGTGAGGGTGACACTGGTAATCAGCTTGTCGCTTCCTTCCTTGGCCATGATCCTATAGAGGAAAGATTTACTTTGACGTAGAAGCCTGGGTTGTATAATGTACATAATAATTGCAAATTTCTTGTCCATCTCAGAAGATAAGGTGCTTTATGTATTATTAGCCATGTTTAGAATGAAGTCGACTTGTATAGGGCTAACACCCTGTAGCTAGGAGCCTGAAGCTTCTGCAGAAAATGAGGGCCCAAAGAGTGTATTTGGCAGGAGCTTGCACAAGCCCTTACCCTCTGTGGGCTGTGCAGAAAGCACAGTCTTTACATTTGGAAGGTAAAATAACTGAGCATTTCCATTTAACTCTTCATAGTTTGGGTTGGGCAGAACTGGATGCAGTCCCAGTTTTGTGATTTGGGTCAAGTTCCTGTGCCCTGTTCCTCATGTTATGTGTGTGACTTTGTATTTGATGTATCTTTGTGATACCTGGCTCACAGTAAACCTTTAATGGAATGGGTATAGTGTGGCACTTGCTAGTTTTCCAAACATCTTCAAGTATATTTCATGTAAGCCCCTTGACTACTACTGAAGAAAGGTAGCACAGTGTTTAGCTCCATTGTAGACAGGAGGAAACTATTTTGGGGTTTGTTTTCTTTGAGACGTGATGAGAACCATGTTCCCTTCTGGGTCAGGGATTTAGCTCAGTGGTTCTGCCACCTGCTTCGCAAGCACAAGGTCCACAGTTTGATCCCCGGTACCAAAAATAAAACATGTACCCTTTTGCCAAAGTCACATGAGCACGAAATGTGTCTGTAGTTTCGGGTTACCAACCCTACAAACCTATGAAACCTGAATCAAGAATTCCTGTCACAGAAAAAGAAAGAAAGAAAAAGTATTGCTGTCATAGGATGCAGTTAAGGAACTAATTTAACAAGATTAAGTCCCTGCCCTCTTGGTGATCCCTTTCAGCTTTACAGATTTCTTGCTTACCTTCCTCTCTCTCTCTCTCTCTTTCTCTCTCTCTCTCTCTCCCCTCACCTGCCCCCTCTTCCTCTGCTTCCTTTCAGGGATTGAGGGACACACTTTCCGAAGTGCCTGTCTACCAAGATGGTTGGAAGCAGAGTGGATCTTTGGGGGTGTGAAATACCAGTATGGTGGCAACCAAGAGGGTGAGTAATGTTTTCATGACCTTTACAGTAGAAGTTCTGCAAAGTTTCACAAGAAACTTTCCTGAGCTCGAGAAAGATTACATTGCAGACCCTCATTCCAAAAATCTGTCTCCAGGGACTCATGTGAAAGGACAGAAAACAAGACAGCTGTCCCTGTGCAGCCTGTTTGTGTTTCTCTGGATGAATATCCATTAGAAATCTGTTGGTGGGGGCCGGGGATTTAGCTCAGTGGTGCTGCTGCCTGCTTTGCAAGCACAAGGTCCCGAGTTTGATCCCTGGTACCAAAAAAAAAAAAAAAAAAAAAAAAAAAATCTGTTGGGGGGCTGAGGATTTAGCTCAGGGGCATCCCAACTGCCTCACAAGGGCAAGGTCCCAAGTTCAATCCCTGGCACCAAAAAAAAAAAGGTTGGTAGTCTGAGTTTAATGTAGCAGCATTCAACCATTTCAGGTTCAGTTAATGTTTAGCTATTTAAATCATAGTAAAACTTAAAATTGAGATGATAGGAAGAATGATTTATCTTAGATACTATAAAAGGCATAAATGTAAAATTAAGGAAGAAACTTGTTTTATCAGTGAAGGAAACAGGTGAGCCCTCTGAGTACTTGCTCACAGAGACCATGGGACACAATGGTAGGCAGCAGTGCCAGGTTGCCCGGTGCTGCTGTTTGGTGAACATGGGTTAGACCTTTTTTTGAGACAGGGTCTCACTATGTAGTTCAGGCTGGCCTTGAACTCATGGAGATCTTCCTGCCTCAGCCTCCTAAGTGCTGGGATTACAGGCATGCATCACCACACCCAGCTCAGAACATAGGGTTAGAGAGGTGGGCTGGCCTGGAGAAAGTGGGATTGCAGAAGTATACTCATCTTTGTTTTTCTACCTGCTGTCCCCTCCCTGGCTCCAGCAGCTTGCCTCAGAGAGGCCCCTTGCCCAATCCCTGTTCTCAGCTTGCGATTTTGCCCTGGCAGGGAAGGTAGGCTTTGAGCCCTGCTTTGCCGAAGTGCTGAGGGTGGTACAAGGAAAACTTCACCAGCCGGAGGAGATCCGGGAAAGCTCCTTCTACGCCTTCTCTTACTATTACGACCGAGCTGTTGAGACAGACATGATTGGTGAGTTTGCCTCCGCTCAGGCTAGGAGGGCAAGTGGAGCATCGTGGTGGGGAAGGGCCAAGGCTCGTCTCTGGTGCTGTGTTGCCCCAGCCTCTCCAAGGGGAGGACTGTAGCAGACATCCCTGCCCAGTACGACTTGGCAGCGTCTTTGGGAGCTAGAAGATGACCTAAAGCCGTGGACACAAAGTCTTTTCCCCTTTTTTTTTTTCATCTTTATTGAGGTATAAATGACATACTATAAATGCACGTTATAGGGCAGTTGGCCAAATTTTGTCACCTATATATACCTGTGAAACTATCACCACATTCAAGATAATGACAACTAATCTGTTACCCTAAGCGGTTTCCTCCTGCTTTTTAGGATTGCTTTTTTCCTTATCACCAAAGTTATACTTTTATTTAGCTGGGAGAGTACATGTAGATACCCTGTCATGGCCTGAGAAATACGAATTAAATTCCTATTTATTTTTTTTAATGAGCCTATTTGCTTATTGTAGTTAAATATATGTAAAAGAGTAGATAACACACATTAATTGTAAATAAGTAAAATAGGCAGCATAGATTTCTGTATTGTAGGGATATGTGTTTGTGTATTTCAGTCTTTAATGTTGGAAATTTTATTTCTGGTTTTTCAATATTATTACAATATTATAAATGTCACTCGCATAAATTTTCTTGCTTCCTTGAAGGCTTTTTGATACCAGTTACTGTTTTGTTTCATTTCAGATTATGAAGCGGGAGGCCTTTTAAAAGTTGAAGATTTTGAAAGAAAAGCCAGGGAAGGTGAGTGTCAGGAAGCCCTTGAAAGGCAGGCTATGTGGTGCCTGTCAGCTCAGTGACCTGATGTGACCACTCAGGGGACTCCTCTGGTCTGTACCAGAATTGAAAATGTCAGGTGTCACAGGACAAGAATACAGGATACAAGAAGCTTTGGGGAAATGGTGAAAATGGTCTTTCTACATTTTTTCCTTGTTTTGTTTGTTTGTTTATTTTGGTACCAGGAATCAAACTCAGGCCCTTGCACTTGGGAGGCAGGCTGTGGCACAACTCAACTAAATCCCTGGCCCTTCTTCCTGTTTTTTAATTGAAATATTACCAGTGTTAATGAAACATCAAGCACCAAGTACATGGGACATAGCCAAAGGCACTTCTTGAGAGGGTCACTCTAAATAAAGATACAAATGATCTTATCCACTGGCCCCATGGACAGGATAAATGGTATTTCCCTGTCTTCTGGGCCTCTGAGTTAATGATAGATAAGGGACTTAGAACTAAGTCCCCACAATTGGTCGTAGAAGTTTGGCAAATAGGGGGCTAGGCATGTAACTCAGTACTTGCCTAGTATGTGCAAGGCCTTGGGTTTGATCTTCAGCATCCCCATCCAAAAGAAATTTCATAAGTAAACTAGGACTTGTGTAAATACGGGCAGTTAAGATTTCATACCAAGCCGAGCATGGTGGTGCACGCCTGTAATCCCAGCACTCGGAAGGCTGAGGCAGGAGGATCGCTGTGAGTCCGAGACCAGCCTGGGCTTCATAGTGAGTTCCAGGTCAGTCTCCACTACATAGTGAGACCCTGTCTCAAAAAAACAAACAAACAAAAAAACCCAAGGTTTCATACCAGATTTATGCAAGTTCTTAAAAAGCTGGGGTCTTAAAAGGGCAATGGGTGCACAGCGTGATCCCTGAGAATCCCAGGTACCAACCAAATGCAGAGTCCTGTTTTGCTTATTCTACCTCTGAATTTAGAGAAAATCTTGACTCTGTCAGCTTATTACACACTTGAACTCAACTGGGCACCGCTTGTCACTTTCAGTGTGTGATAACTTGGAGAACTTCACCTCAAGCAGTCCTTTCCTATGCATGGATCTCAGCTATATCACAGCCCTGTTAAAAGAAGGCTTTGGCTTTACAGACAGCACCATCTTACGGGTAAGAGACAGGTCACTGTAGCCCCCAACAGTCTTCTTTTGTTGGTCTTGACAAAAGTTAAGAACTTGCTTAGTAATCAAGATATCCATAGATTGAAGGTATTTGTGTTCAGGCAAGGCATGAAATTGTGAATTTAGGGTTGAGGTAAACTAGTTTGTCTTCTAAGCTCATTCCCCTCCCACCTTCCTGTGTATCAACTTCTGTTTCCCCAGTTGGAGAGGACTTTACATTGCCCTGTATCTTGTGTTATACATTGCAGTCATTCCTACTGAGGTATTTGGATTTAATGTATTGTTACATATGTCAGCAATATCAACATTTAATGTGCTTAACACAGAAGAGTTACCTGCCAGGAAAATCAGTATAACAGAATTTAAGAAGCTGTGATTGCTGGGCGTGGGGGCACATGCCTGTAATCCCAGCACTCAGGAGGCTGAGGCAGGAGGATCACTGAGTTTGAGACCAGCCTGGGCTACATAGTGAGTTCCAGGTCAGTCTCAGCTACATAGTGAGACCCTGTATCAAAAACCAAACAAACAAACAAGATGTGGTCTTGGAGGAGAGCATGTGTTCTGTTGCCCATCAAGGCTGCATTCAAATTCTGACTCCCCAAACTGACTAACTCTGACTTTATGTGATTTGCTTCCCCTCTAAAGTTCCTGCTCAAACTACAAGGATACATATACAATACATATTTCATAGAACTGTTAAAATAATTGATGCAATGCATATAAAGCATAATACCTGGCATGTATTAATATTGGTATTACTATTAGTGGAGGTATTTCGTGCTAGTTGGGGATCAATTTGTGGGTAAAAATGATCATCCTATCCAGGCATAATCCCAGCACTTCGGTAAACTGAGGCAGATCACAAGTTCAAGCCCAGCTTAGGTAAATTAGTGACTTAACAAGACTCTGTCTCAAAATGTAAAAAAAAAATTTTTTTCAAAGGGCTGGGGATGGAAGTCAGTGTGAAGACCCTGGGTTTAATTCCCAGTGCTTTAAAAAAAAAAAAAGACAATGATTTAAAGGCCCATCTCCTATTTTGGATACAGTGACTACACTCACTTTCATCAGGTTAACACTTAACCTAATGGTTTTCAAACTTCTGTATCGAAAACCATCTTTATTCAACAAAAGCTGCTGGGGATTTAGCTAAGTGGTGCCTGCTTGGCAAGTGCAAGGTCCTGAGTTCAATTCCTGGACCAGAAAAAAAAGAGAAGAAAAAAGCTTACATAGAATGTCAATAATTTAAACTGATAAAGTAGAGCTCTTCTTTTGAAGCAAAAGTTAGGGGCCTGGAACTCCCTTGCCATTCAGATTCCCCTTTTCCTTCAAATTATTTCCAAGGATTCCCTGGAATTTTGAAGAAAACAATTTGATAGGCTACAAATCCCCTTGTTCTGTAACTGAGAAAATCAAGCCTAAAATCTTGCCCGAGATCACAGTTAATTGAGGCACAAATTGGTCCAGAATGCCCTGGATGTCCTGATTAGATTATTAGTGCTTAAGAAGCAGCAGTTGCTTCCATAGTATGAATTCAGGAGCTTGGTATGTTTTCCCACCCCTACATGTATTTCCAGCTCCTAATAATGCTCCCTCTGCCATATTCACTAACATTTCATTTTAAGTTGTCTTATCGGAAAGAGGTGATTCAGAAAATAAAGCAGGGGATGTTGTTTCAGGATTAAGAGTTCAGAAGCCTGTCTTTGTAGATCTGTCTAGAGGGCTTGAGGAGGACCACTTCCTGGGCGGAAGCACTCAAGAATGAGAGCAGTGGGTGTAGGGCCATAGACCATGGCTGGAGGAAGACTGTCACGGAGGGGAGCAGTGGGAAGCTCCCAAGACTGGCTCTTCTTAGTTTTGCCTTGGTTTGGCCACATACATGGTCTCTGAAGGTATTATCTGTCTACGAATTGAATATTGCAGGTTTTGGTGTTTTTTTGTACCAGGATTGAACTCGGGGCCCTGCACTCACGAGGCAGGCATTGGCAACACTAAGCCAAATCCCTGGTCCCTAAGAATTGAAAATTGGATAAAAATGTGAAAACTTTTTTTTTTTTTTTCTCTCTCAACAGCTCAAAAAGAAAGTGAACAACATAGAGACGGGCTGGGCCTTGGGGGCCACCTTCCATCTGCTGCAGTCCCTGGGCATCTCCCACTGAGCCACACGCTTCCTCCAGGCCCACATTCTTCCACAGCCTCTAACGGGAGAGCCCTTTCGCTCTGAGCTCCTCTGGGTGCTGGAGCCCAGCAGCTGGCTTTTCCAGGGAAGGGACTTTTGTAGCCAGGTCTTGCCCTTGAACCTAGAGATTTGGGTTTAATTTTACATATTGAATCAAATGTGAACCATTACCTGACCACTTGGGGTGCACAGCTGGCACTGGAGCCTAAAGCTTTGAGCTTCACTGTGTGTCACAGTGCCACAAATAGCTCTGGAACTCAGCCTTGGAGCGACAGCTAAGGGTCACGACCCTGGGAACCAACAAAAAATCTCATCTCAACACTTGGGAGTGCCTCATTCCTTGGAAATTGTTCTTGCCCTCTTATATGCTAAATTAAGCCAATTTATTTCAATCCTGTGGCCTATCGATAACCAGTATTTTTTTCCTCCCTATATACTGTCCTGTCCCCACCTTTATGTGCAGACCTTTCCCAAGAGGAAAAAAATATCTAGTTTTGCTATGTGTAATTAAAAAAAAAAAAAAAAAAAGGAAAGAAGAAAGGTACCTTATCAGATGGCAGGTTTAAGAAGAGAGGCTCCGGCTGGGGATTTAGCTCAGCGGTTCGGTGGCCTGCCTCGTAAGCTCAAGGACCCTAGTTCGATCCCCAGTACCACAAAAAGAGGCTCCGTAGCCAGTGTGGTACTTGCCTTGCCTGTGATCCCATCTCCCAGCCCTTGAGTCTGGGAGTTGAAGACCAACCTGAGCAACACAGATGCTTCTGGGGTGGGAGATGGGAATCACAGTGAAAAGTCTGAAGAAATCCCACTTTGAATCAAACAACTAAAATTGGAGTGGGTGGCGTGATACAGAAATAAAAATTTTTATTAGGAAGGGTTTTTGTTGTTTGGTGGTACTGAGTATTGAACCCAGGGGCACTTCATCTATGCTGTATCCCCAGCCCTTTTTAGTTTTTGAGACAGGGTCTTACTAACTTCAAATTTGTAATCCTCCTTGCCTCAGCCTCCCTAATTGCTTGGATTACAAGCATGTGACACCACACCCAGCCCTACAGTCATCTTTATACTTTTTGCCTTCCTCAAAAAATGCTCACGCGTGATGGAATGAGAGTTTTTGTTTTGTTTTGGTTTTTTGTTTTCTTTTTTGAGACAGGGTCTCACTATGTAGTCCAGGCTGGCCTCAAATTCTCAGTTGAGCCTCTCTCAGCCTCCTGAGTGCTGAAGCTGCAGGTATGTGCCACCATATCCAGCTTATCTTCTCATGCTCTCTCCCATTCCAAAACCTTTCAAAATCTTAACTCCGAAATTCTTTACGCTGTCTTTTAACATCTGACATGACTTCTGGACCCCTTAACATCTTGTCAAAAAAGCAGATTTCTAGGCCAGTGGTAGCACCCTAAATGTTATTCTGCATGATTGTTACCTACAGTAGAAACCCCGAAGAAGTAAGTTGTGTTCACTAAAAGGTCCTGCAGCCTCACAGGCCCAGAGCAGTGAGGTTCCAATGGACATTTCTTAGTGCAGGCTCTCTCTGAAGCGGCTCCTAAGTAGGGGCTGGGTTTGTAAAGTGCATTATTGTTCCCCAGACTCCTTTGGACACCCTGATACCTTTGGGACTCTTGGGTAGATGCAGTCCCACTTCAGAGGTTTTCTGCATGTATTGTTAATCTTGATCAGAACATCTGGAGATTAGCCATCTGTTAGTTTTAAGTGCAATTTGGAATGAGATTTATATTAAAAATGATTTGTTAATGTACCTTTTGAGCTTCTAAGGGGTCCTGCATATTCTAGTATTACTGGTTAATTTCATCTCTGTTAGTGGGTGAGGGTGTGTAAAATACCTAGGATTTAGCCTGGCACTGGTAGATGTTGTGTTTATTGTTGTCCCTATATGAAGAACTGTGAATCATGGAGATCCTTCCAAAGTGTGCCTTAAAATTCTGTCTTTGTTGCCAGGCATGGTGGCACACGCCTGTAATCCCAGCACTCGGGAGGCTGAGGCAGGAGGATTGCTGTGAGTTCGAGACCAGCCAGGGCTACATAGTGAGTTCCAGGTCAGTCTCAACTACATAGTGAGACCCTGTCTCAACCCCCCCCACAAAAAAAATCTGTCTTTGTCGTTATACTTTTGGAGTCTAGATTCTCTTCCTGGACAAACTTTTTCTTCCTTTCTTTTTTGGTACCAGGGATTGAATTCAGGACCTTGCCTCACGCACTGCACTTGTGAGGCAGGTGTGGCACCATTGGGCTAAATCCCCGGGGCCCCCTTTCCATTTTTTGTGGTGGTCACCCTATGTCTATAGTCTCTGTCAGTAGTCACACAGCTTTATACAGAAGCTGTTATCTTTTCAGCTGGGCACATATTTCCTGGATTCCAAGACATTATTATTTTTCACTCTGTATCTGAACACATTTTTCATATTTACCTCAAAAGCTGCCCTATAGCATCAAACTTCTCATTCCTTCAAAAGTTATTCCCAAGAATAGCTTAGCTTGGTTCAAAAGCAGACTGTTTCTTCTTATTTCATCTTCAAAGCAGACTTTTGGGCAAGATGTTCTTTACAGTGTGAAAATGTAACAGCCCTGATGATCTCTGTGGTGAGCTCTTTACAGCAACAGCAACACTGCCCCCTCGCCAGCCACCAGTCTCTGCCAGCAAGCAAGGACAGATTCCGCTGCCCATCAGTGTCCTTTCTGAGCTGATTCCTGAGGTCTTCAAATCTGTGCAATGAAATTATTTTATTACTGAACAAGATTGGTGTCCTGGAGAGGAACCATAAATAAAATTGAAATTTTGTGCTTTGCTGAAGATGCAATAACTAGGATTAATAAGACTTGATTTTTAGCAGGGAGTGGTGGCTCACGCCTATAATCCCAGCACTCGGGAGGCTGAGGCAGGAGGATCGCTGTGAGTTACATAGTGAGTTCCAGGTCAGTCTCAACCACGTAGTGAGACCCTGTCTCGAAAAACAAAAAACAAAAAAACAAAAAAACAAAAAAAATTTGATTTTTTTTTTTCCAGAAAGTCCAGTGCACCAATAACAAAGGTTAAAGTACTTTGTATTTAATCTGCATTCTAATGTTAATTTTGAAACAAATTTCTAATAGAAACATATTAATTAATATTTCTGATCCTTATCTCTATAAAAAACAAATTTACGACCAGCACGTTCTCTTTAGAAAGGACTGTTAACTAATGAAAATGAACTGAGCAACATCTCAGTAAGTTTTGTTTTAGTAATAAAAAGCTCTTTTGAATTGAACAGTAACAGTCTTCCTGTGGAATTTTTTTCCTCACAGCAAAGTCATTTAGGTTCCATAGGAGAAAAAGATAAGAATTCCAAGGTAAAAGATCCCAATGATGAAAGTAACTACTGTATACTTAAAAAGTACCAATAAAAAAAAAAAAAGACAAGAATTCCAATGTAAAGTAAATTTATTAAATTACATTTCAGAAGTATGGGTGATGGTCACAAGGTAGGATGTTCTTTTTTTTTTCATCAACATAATCTTCAGAAGAGAGCACTCATTTGCTGGCAAAGGCCATAATTTGTTCCTGTAGGAAAGGGGAACAGAATGGCACTCACATACTAAGATTGGGAGAGGTGAGGCAGATACTCTTAGGGCTGGGAACACAGTTCATTGGTAGGGTTTGCCAAACATGCACAAGACCCTGGGTTCAATTCCTTGTACCTTTCCCCAAAATGAAAGTAAAAATAGTGAAGTACTTATAATATCCAAAGTGATCAAAGCAAAAGCACTCGCAGAGATATTCTTCCCAAGAGCACTTTTATTTCAGAAAAAAAAAAAAAAAATTAAATGAAGTATTTCAGAGAATCTGTCCAAGCAGCAAAAGGAGGTTAAACTTTAACTTTTTTCTTTTTTTGTTACCAAGGATTGAACTCAGGGCCAGGCAGTGCCACTGAGCTAAGTCCCCAGACATTAAATTTCATCTTAATAAGGCCCTGTGTACCATCCCTTCCATATCAAGTTATTGCTTAGATATGCACTGACAAGCCCAGCACGTACTCTTGCTCAGAACCACTGGAAATGGGAGACAAAATAATGTTACACTGAAGCAAACAATCTTGGAAAAACCACTAGTGGCCTCTTACTTTGAGTGGAGACACAGCGTTAGTGACCTGCAAGCCCCATGTCCTGAGCAGCACAAGAGGAATGGCACTGGTGGAGTACAGCCTTTTCAGCAAGTCAGTAGCAGCCAGGAGAGCAGTGTTGTGACGCTGTCTGTCTGTTTCATAACCTGTGAGGTGGCTCATGGAGCCTGGAGGAAAAAGGGAAGGTTAAATCCTTTCTTCAAAACAAAGGCATCTTCCCCCTCCCTAGCAACCCAGATCTACATCATGTTGACCCCATCTTGCTACTACTGAGGGCCATTATGGGGCTCTGATCTTTAACTTTTTTGTGGGGGAGGTGTACCGGGGATGGAACTCAGGACCTTGTGCTTGCAAGGCAGGCAGCGGCAGCACTGAGCTAAATCCCCAGTCCTGATCTTTAACTCTTGATCTCTGGATGCCTGAATCTTTACCTAAGTCTTTTCCATTGAAGGCTGCAGTACTGAGGTGATGAAGCAGGCTGGAGATATCCCCAAAGCCCATGTTGACACCTTGTCCTGCAAGTGGGTGGACTCTGTGGGCTGCATCCCTGTGAATGAAGCAGCATTCGGGTGTGGCCTCCAGCAGCAGTGAGGAGGGAGCGGCCCTGCTCCATTACTGTCTTACCCAATGAGCGCCACGCGAGGCCGGACGTACTCAGCTGCATGTCCCAGCCCCAGAGGGAAGAGCACTCTGCTTTTGGCATCCACCCTGGCTACACTTGGGGGTAGCTGGCGAGCTGAGACTTTAGTGGGCTTCAGAAGAGCAACAGCATACTGCAGTATGCTGCCAGCAGAGCCGATGAAGTCGGTGTGGTTAGCATCACTCCACTGGGCATCAGCCACAAAACAAACCAGGAAAAATCATCAGCGACTAGCAGGAAACTCAACGAGGAAACCCTTTTATAACAGGCTAAGGGTAATGCTACCAACACGCTCAAGCTGATGTTGACTATGAGTGACAGACCTCTTAAACAAATGCAAAATAGAATTTTCCAGGACTCCTCACAGGTCAAACTGCTCTGAGCTGGCTTCTGCCTACCTCTTGAGCACGTTCTGCCAGTCCCCACCACCAGTAAAAACACATCCGCAGTGTGGCTCATCCAGGACTTTCTGGTTAGAATGTCCACCCTCTCATTCCACCAGGATGATACCTCAGAACACCGCCCCCCAAGCCCTCCACTGTGTTTCCCCCTCTGTGCTGCCACAGCACCCTGTGCATATTTCTGTCACTCTACTTAGGTCATTATTTACACGTCTTTCTCCACACCTGACTACAGGCTTCCTGAAGGCAGGGACTATCTCATCCTTCTCTATCTCTATAGCCTGCTAGACAGAAGGCCTTGTAATTACTACTGAATAAATGTGCTACAAAAGTGTTAGGCTTGTGCCAGGGATACATGCTGAATGACCCAGCGGTAGCATTCATCATTTACCTTGGAAACCACTTCAGTATGTCCACTTCCTTTTATCCTTCCTGCTACTACAGAGCAGTGGTATATAATTCTTTGTTGTGAAGTTCTTAGGCTTGGTTAAAAACAAGCTTCAAGGGCCCGGTTGAATGCAGAATTCAGCTTTGCCGTAACTCTTGGACCTCAGGCAAGTTCCTAATCTTTCTAAATGAGGCTAATACTACTACCTACCTCAAAGGTTAACTATATTAAGTAAATATCAATAAAACTCTAAAGTATAACTGGCACATAGTAAACAATAAATGTTACCAGTTAGTGTTAGTGATGAATTTAGGTAAATGTGAAGTAAAAGCTCCAAAAATACAAGTGTCCATATTATTTACAGGCTATGTCTACTCCAGAATAATTAATAATTTGTTGATAATCTACAGTGTATTAAATATATTCCAAGAATTTTATATAAATTATCTTTTTATTTTAGTTTTTATATTTATTGTATTGTTGTATGGAGATTAAACCCAGGGTAAAAACACTACCACTGAGCTGCTACATTCTCAACCTGTTTCTCTCATTTCAAACATCTTTATTCAGTCCTGAGGAGTTGGTGGTAACTATTTCTATTTTTCAGATTAACAAAATCAATACTGAACCCATGTATGTCTGTCTACAAAGTTTACTCTTAAGCTCTGTGCTAAAAATGTGTTCAGTGCCCCCACACACACTTCCAATGAATCAGGTTTCAAAGGTGTAGGTATTTGGAACCTACTAGAATTGTGCAAAGTGATCAAAGTATACAGCTTCCAAAAAAGTGACGATGGGCTGGGGATTTAGTTCAGTGGCATGGCGCCTGCCTCACAAGCTCAAGGTCATGTGTTCAATCCCCGGTACCAAAAAAAAAAAAGCAATGCTATCCACCACCAGTCACCTGAGTCCATCAGCATAACAGCAGCCCACAACCCTAGATGAGCATTACTGTGTTTCTGTTGTCCATGTCCCTGTGTGCCCTCCTCAGCATAATCCTGATCAAGTTACAAAGGAGCAGAGGCTTGGTTAGTCCTCCTTACTCAAAACCACCTTTCTATACCTACCCCTACAACCTATCATCAGCAGGACCAGGTGATACTCACAAAGGCAGAGTTGATAGCGTCTACAAACTCTTCCTCATCCATCCTGACCAGCTGTGCTGCATGGTCATGGGATGTGGACCAAACCAAGGAACTCAAGGTGTCTGAGAGCTGTGTCAAAAGAAGAATATCAACACTAAGGCTAAAATTCCTCTGAACTTAGGGCCTCTCGAGCACAAAAGAAGACAAAAAGGAGAAACAATGTTAGGCTGGACATGTTCCTTTGAACCCAGAAAAGGGCTGAGAAAACAGACACCTCTGAGCAGACTAGCCAGATGACCTCTTACCGGGAGCAGAGCAATCGGCCCTGAGGGAAGAAATCTCTGCCAGGCTACATTGTTTTCTGTGGCCTGTAACATTGAAGAGAAAGGATTTAATGAAGAATACCTGGAGCCTGTGAGTAAGGTCCCAAGTGGCAGCTCCAGAGCTTACCTCAGACAAATGCAGAGTAGCCACCACAGCAGACTGGTCATAGTTCCAGCTGACATTCTGGATCCCAGCAGCCTGCCGTACTCCTGAGTTGTGACCATCAGCACCAATCTGCATGGAGATGAGAGCCTACTAAGTTTTACAGCCTCTGCGTACATCAAATTGCTCCAGAATTTTCTTTTCCTCCTACTGATTACTCTAGTTCCAACTGTTTGCCAGCCCACAGTTTTGAAATTTTTCATCAGGCCTGTCTCACAGCCCTGGACTACAATATGCACCTTTTGCCTCCACTGATGGAGCCAAAGCAGACATCTGGCTCAAGAAATGCCAGCCAGGGTCAGGGTTTTAGCTCAGTGGTTCCGCCAATGGCCTCACAAGTACAAGGTCGAGTTCAATCCCCAGTACCAAAAAAAAAAAAAAAAAAAAAAGTGTATATATCTCAGTTATGTTAAATCTGAGCTAGATGCTCTTGAGATTTAAACCAGAGAGGAACATCTTGGTACAGGCAGGCCATGGAGCCAAATGGTCCTGACGTGAGGTTGGGAAGGGCTGCCACACAAAGGCAAAGGCAATGAGCAAAGAGAAAAAAATGAGAGCTTCCAGGAGATGAATAACAATGGGATCCTGAGGAAAAGAACAGCTTCAATTACTGACACTGGTTCTGTGCCTGTGAGGCCCAGCTATCCTATCATTTTGTGACCTAAGATGGCCATGAAATTGCTTCCTGCACAGGACTTAAGACCCCCTCAATCTCAGCTGGCCCAAAGGACAACTGGGCATTTATAACCAAAAGCCTTGCCTGAAGTCAATACAGCTTAGACTGGCTTACAGAGTCCCTAGAGTAGAGGACAGGGTGTACACATGCAAGACCCCTGGCAAAATAAGAATCAACTACCAACAGTGTGGTCTGGAGGGTGCTGCCATCACCTAGGGTAATATGGACCCAAGGGCTGGAGTCTGCCATGGAAAATGGGCCAGGCCAGGAATAGCCAACAGCTTTGCTCCTGTACAAAACCGTCACTCGATCTGGAGAGACCAAAAGAGAAAGAAAACAAAAGATTAAAAAGGAAGGCCACGAGGCCAAGGGAAAAGCCAAAACCAAACCTAAGGTGAAGTGCCAGAACAGCAATTTCTTGTCATTCACTGCCACACAAGGAAAGAAGATCTAAAAAGGAAGTTAAGTAAAGCAACTCAATCAGTGATACTTTCTGAGAGCTGATGAATAGCAGAAGCCACGGACAGGACTCAGTGTCACAGCAAAAAACTCAAACTCTCAGGTGGATCCTCAGCCTGGAGCATTCTAGTTTCACTCTACACTTACATGCACCCACACACACTTACAGAGCAGACAGCGTGGACACACCACCGGCCCCACACATTCGGTACTGCAATATTCTCCCCACTGGTAACTGTTTCATTTTTCTAATTAAAAAGTAATATGCTCTATATGATCATGGGTAGTAAGATAATAAGATGGGAGAAATAAGTTCTGAAGTACACAGCAGAGAAGGCTGACTGCAGATGCTAACAGTGTACTGTATATTTCCAAAAAGCTTGAAAAGAGGGTTTTAAAATCTTTGTTTTTGTGGTACTGGGGATAGAACCTAGGGCTCTTGTGCCTACTAGGCATATGCTCTGCCACTGAGATGCACCCCAGCCTGAAAAGATTTATTTCAGTTTAGTTTAGTTTTTATTTTTATTTTTATTTTGGGTACCAGGGATCAAACCTAGGTCCTTGTGCTTGCGAGGCAGGCAGCGGAACCACTGAGCTAAATCCCTGGCCCAAGATTTTTAAAAATAGTAATGGAGACTGAACCCAGAACCTTCTCATTTAGATACAGCCCACCTTTTTTCTATTTTTTATTTTGAGACAGGGTCTTGGTAAGTTAAGCTGCCTCCAACTTGTGATCCTCCTACCTCAGCTTCCCTTAGTGCTGGAATTCCAGGCCTGTGCCACCATGCCCAGCAAGAGAATGAGTGATCTTAGGAAAAAAAAAAAAAAAGATAAATGCTGGAAAAGAAAGATATGCTTACTCAGATTTGAACATTATATAATGTATGCATGTATTAAAATATCACAACACCCTCATATTTATAATTTTTATATATCAATTAAAAGTCTCCCTTTTAAAAAATTATGCCCTCCAAAACATCAGGTTGTATACAGTAACTATCTATAGCCTTTGTCATTCAGTAAGGTGTTTACTTGGGAGGCTGAGGCAGGAGGATAGCCATGAGTTTGAGGCCAGCCTGGGTTACATAGTGAGTTCAAGGCCAACCTGAACTGAGAACTTGTCTCAAAAAAAAAAAAAAAAAAAAAAAATGAGGTGGGGAGATTAAATAATAAGCTCACTCTAAATGTCTTTAGAACAAAGAACAGTGAAAAGAGAAATAAAATTGCTCTTAGTCATTCTAGTGTTGGTATAGCACTCCAGTGTCCTAGGCCTGACTATGCCTGCCTACACCTACACAAACACAAGTGGGGTCACATGACACAAAATGTCTCTCATCAATGTATTAGAAACTTCCAGGTGACTAAATATTAGAGCAGTTTTTTTTTCTTTTGTAGTAGGGATCAAACTCAGGACCTCATGCTTTGCCAGGCAAGTGCTTTGTACTACTTATTTAATTATACACACACACATATATTTTTGTACCAGGGATTGAACTCTGAACCCTGTGCTTGTGAGGCAGGTGGCAAGAACCACTGAGCTAAAGCCTCAGCCCAATTATATTTTTTAATTTTTGCAGCACTGGGGATTAAGCCCTGGGCCTTCCTTGCATATGCCATGCAAGCATTCTGCCACTGAGCTGTAGCCCTGGCCCTAAATTATTTTTAAAAGCTAGACTGTGGCACACTACTGTACATAAATTCTACTCCATATGAAAAAGCATTTAAACTATTTCTAATTTTTGTCTTCCTAGAATTCTATCATTCATATACTCAAAAAATAAAAAAGATAGCTTGGTATGGTGGCACATATTTATCATCCCAGCACTTTGGGATGCTAATGCAGGTGGGTCCTACGTTCAACCCTGGCCTGGACAAGTAAATAATTTAGCAAGATCCTTTCTCAAAATAAAAAAATAAAAGGGCCGGGGATGTAGCTCAGTGAAAGCTGTGGGTTCAACCCCTACTACTGCCAAAAAACAAAACAAAAAAAGACAACCCATGCCAGGTATGGTGGCACACGCTTGTAATCCCAGCACTTGGGAGGCTGAGGCAGGAGGATCACTGTGAGTTCGAGACCAGCTTGGGCTACATAGTGAGTTCCAGGTCAGTCTCCACTACCAAGTGAGACCCTGTCTTAACAAACAAACAAACAAACAAAAAGACAACCCAATTTTAAAATGTGCAAAAGAAGGGCTGAGAATCTTGGCTCAGTGGTGGAGGTACTTGCCTAACATCAGGAGGCTTTGGGTTAGATCCCAACATGCACACACATGTACATGCCACACACACAGAGCAAGACTCTGAACAGACATTTCTCCAAAGATACACATGTGGCCAATAAGCACATGAAGACACCTAACAGCATCATTATCCATTAGGGAAATACAATCAAAACAAGATGCCACTTCACTCTCACCAAGATGGCTGTAATTTCTCAAAGGGGTGGGGTCTGGCTCAGTGGTAGAAGGCTTGCCTAGCATGCACAAAGCCCTGGACTAGATCCCTGACACTACAAAAACAAATCAAAACAAAATGTTCTCCAATCACAAGAAAAGTAAACTACAGAGGTGAACATTATTTAGCTGCACATGGTGGCTCATGCCAATAATCCAAGCTAATGGAGAAGCAGAGACAAGGGGACTGCATTATTCCAGGCCAGCCTGGTCAACCAACAAGACCTATCTCAAAACTTTAAAAGGGGAGCCAGGCCTGGTGGCACATGCCTGTGATCCAGCACTCGGGAGGCTGAGGCAGGAGGATCACTGTGAGTTCAAGACCAGCCTGAGCTACACAGTAAGTTCCAGGTCAGTCTCAACTACATAGTGAGACCCTGTCTCAAAAAACAAAAGAACAAACAAAAACTTTAAAGCGGGGATGGGAGGTATAGGGAGGCTGGGGTGTAGCTTAGTGGTAGAGTGCTTGCCTAGCATGTACAAGGTCCTGGGTTCAATTCCCAGCAACACACACACGCACACACTTACTTATAATAATAAAAGAATAGTTATTGGCAAAGATATAGAGAAACTGGATGTCTTAAATTGGTGGCAAAGAAAAATGGTACAGCCTCTAGAAAGCAGTTTGCCAGCTCCTGAGAAGACTAGACCTAGAACTGTATGACCTAGCAACACTACCTCCAAGTACAAGTATCTACCCAGGAGAAATGGAAACATATGTGCACACAAAAACTTGTATATGAAATATTCTCAGCACTATTTGCAATTGCTAAAAAAAGTAGAAACAATCCAAATGTTTCTTAAAATTTGGTATATTCATACAATGGAACACTGTTCAGCAATAAAGAAGGATGACGTACCGATACATGCTACAATGTAGAGAAATCTCAAAAATATGCTCAGTGTGGGATGTGTGACTTGAATTAATACAAATTATATAATTCCTTTGGTATGAATTGTCCAACATTGGCAAATCTAGAAAGACAAGCCAGGCCTGATGGCACATGACTGTAATCCCAGCACTCAGGAAGTTGAGATCTCAAATTCAAGACCAGCCTGAACTATATAGTAAAACCCTGTCTCTAAAAACAACTAGAAGTGGCTGCAGACTCTGAGTGGGACTGAGGAATGACTATAAAGGGGTATGAGGTTTTTCAGGTGAAGGAAATGTTCTAAAATGATATTGGGGTAATGGTTGCACATCTGCATAAATACACTAAAAGTCACTGAATTATACACTTAAATGGGTCAGTTTTATGATATGTAAATTGGACATGAATAACGCTATTAAAAAGAGACAGGCATGTTGGCACTCTGGGAGGCTAAAGCAGAATCACATGTTCAAGCTCAGCCTGGGCAACTTAGCAAGACCCTGTCTCAAAAAATGGGAGAGGGTGGCAGGCTGTGGATGTAGCTAAATGTTAAGGCCCTGAGTTCAATCCCCAGAAGAAAGAAAGGGAGAGGGAATGAGAAGAGGAAGAAAAGAGAATACAAAAGAGAGAAAAAGAGTAAAGAAAGGAAGGGGAGGGGAGGGGAGGGAAAATGAAGGAGACAGGAAAGGGTAAAAAAGGGGGAGGGAAGGGAAGAAGACAGCAAGCTACCTAGCTGTTAAAAAAGAAAAAAACAAAACAAAACAAAACAAAAAAAAACCCGGAGATAACTGTCAGAGGATTTCTTTATAGCAGACACTCAGCATCTGTAAAAGCAATCTTCTCTTTCAGGAAGTCCTAAGGACTTCACTTCCCGGGGAGTAAACAGAAGAGGAAAGCGATGGTGACGCACCAGACACAGCCTCCAGCTGCTTAGTGAGTGCATGCATGATGACATCATTCTCCACTATGTAGCCCATGTCATCTAAATTATCCTTATCGAACATTATCAAGGCCTCTGAGCAGCCGTCCCACACCTGGAAACACAAAGGGAAAGTTGCATTAAAGCCAAGTAAAAGGAAATATGACTCTAATCAGAAACCAAGAACTGCTTTCCCAAGTGACAGAAGTATAAGGTCACCAACTGTCAGAGTGAAGTGAGAAGGTTCTCAAAGTCTGTGCCCCCACTTCATGAGACTGCAAGTGAATTTTGATTCCTCCCACATTCACAGAAAACCTAGAGAACGCAGATTCCAGTATCTTAACACAAGACAGAACAACACATCTCGCCAGAGTGTACAAGGTAAACGAGGCACCTGCATCCGCCGGAAGGCTCTGTATCTCATGTTGCAGATGTGATCCCAGGCACCAAAACCTACAAAAGAAAGGGACTGTAGACGGGAAACAGCTCATAGTCACTTCGCCCCGCTTCTGACTCTCCAGCCTGGAGTAAGAGGTGGTTTTCTGTGCTCTCCTATGACAGAAAAAACTTTCTCTGTTTCATCCTATTTGGTGCTAGGAGCTAAGCTATTCTATGCCCTAGTCCCCTACTATTGTGCAGAATAGGAAAAAGGCCCCAAAAGTCAAATCATGTTCTAAGAAGGGAAACAAAAAGCAAACCAAACCCACATTGACCTTTTCATTATCTTAAGAACCTGACTTCCGCAGCTGGCCTTCTAGTTAGAGATTGAATATCAAAAGACAAATATGCGATGTCAAGTAGTAGGTGTTACAAAAAAAATGAAGCAGTATGAGGCTAGAAAGTGGTGGAAGAATTTAATAGGCAGGCTGGTGTCACAAAGGACAGGAGGAACATCGGGCAGAGACCCAAAGATAACCTGCTAAGTAAGTGGCTCTGCGTGAACACATTCATCTACACCCTAAAAGTATGTAACATGTGGGCTCCCTCACCCACCTGAGTGCCAGCTCTGGGAATGGAGAGCAAATGTTCATAATTAGTTCACAGACTCAGTTCCACATAACAAGGTATACAGGACGCGCCCACACATCTTGAAGGTGCTTCCCCAGAGCAGGAGCTGATTCATTAACATTAGCTCCACAAAGCCCAGGAAAAAGGATGCTGGGCCTTGGCAGGATCCATACTCACTGCTGAGCAGGGTTGCAGAGCTGGGAGAAATGGAGCTGACTCTGTTGCTGTAAGTTTCTGGCAATTTCTCCAGTACTTTCTTTGGACCTGCTTCTAGCAACAGGATTTTCTTTTCATGAAAGTGAATATCATGTCCTAAAAAAAAAAGAGAGAGAGAGATTTTATGCAGTCATAGAAAAATCAAGAATGTAATTGCACAATAATAATGTGCTGGACATTTAAAAAAACTGGAAAAGCTTTGAAAGTTTTCAACATGAAGAAACAATAAATGTTCAAAGAGATAAATATGTTTAACCTGATTTAAATATACACTCTTTACATGCATTAAAACATTACATGGTATACCTTTAATATGTACAATTTTGTTTCAATTCAAAAATAAATTTTAAAAAGCCAGATGTAGTGGCGGACACCTGTAACCCCAGCATTCAAGAGGCTGAGGCAGGAGGATTGCTGCACTCCAAACCAACCTGGGCTGCATAGTGAATTAAAGGTCAGTCTGAACTACATAGTGAGAACCTGTCTCAAAAAAATAAATAGCTGGGGATTTAGCTCAGCAGCACAACACCTGCCTGGCAAGCGTGAGGTCCTAAGTTTGATCCCTGGTACCAAACTAATAATAAAATTTATTTTTATTTATTTTTTAGTTTTTTTGAAACAGGATCTCACTATGTAGTTCAGACTGACCTGGAACTCACTATGTAGCCCAGGCTGGTCTCAAACTCACTGCAATCCTCCTGCCTCAGCCTCAGGAGTGCTGGGATTACAGGCGTGTGCCACCACGCCCAGCTTAAAATAAATTTTAAAAAACTGAAAAAATATGATTAACTTCTTAGGCCTTAGAATACAAATTTCTCATTGGGCACATAATGTAAATACTACTCACGCAGAACCCTAAGCAATAACATGTTGCACCACTTCATCCCAGGACATGCCTCACTCACCACTATAAGGCTTCCTAACAAACTGCTATGCGCTACGCACCATGCACCACGTGATTTAGGAATAAATAACAAATAGCAAATACAGTGTTCAAACAACAAAAAAAAAGAAGAATTTAATCTTAGTTCCTTAGGGGCCTGAGGCAGGAGAATCACAAGTTCAAGGCCAACTCGGGAATTTAGCATGACCTTGTCTCAAAATAAAATTTCTTTGCTCATGGTTATTATTTCCATCCACAAATGTTGCAGATCTATAAAGTAGATACAGTAAGGCTTTTAGGTGTGACAGGCAGGGAAAACCAACAAAAAAAAGGTTTCTGAACACATTATAAAATATACACAGGTGGAATTTAGCTCAGAGGTGCCACACCTACCTCGAAAGCACAAGGTCCTGAGTTTGATCCCTAGACCCGGAAATTTATTCTATTCCATGTAACATTTCAGAAAAGTTACTTAAGGTGCCTGTAGTCCCAACTACTCAAGAGGCTGAGGCAGACAGATCTCTGTACCTAAGAATTTGATGCTAGCCTGGACAACACAATGAGATCCCATGTTAGGAAGGAAGGGAGGGAGGGAAAAGAGAAGAGAAGCCTTTTAAGAATGTTTTTAAAAACACTAGGCAAACTCTACAGGACCATTCCTGAACTCAAATAATGTGAGAGGGAAATAAAGATGTTTCAAACCTCAACATAAACTAGTGTGAGCCTAAGGAACCAAAGAAGACACAGCAGACTTTCAGGGAAATACTGGTTTAAAGGCCTACTAGAAATTTTTTAGTTTTAAAGCAACTGTCTAAAATAAAAAGACGTTGAACTAAAAACTAAGCTTACTCAGCATACAAACTATTGACAAAGAGCATTCATTAGGCTCTGTGCTTTGATGATCAAGGCTGACAACCCAAGCAGCTGTTTGTCCAAAAACCATGCCTGCCCATGGACACAGGGATAAGACCAGTGTGAGGACTGGGGTGCAGCCCATCACACACTTCAGTCCCAGTGCTGCACAGGAAAAAGCAGAGGTTTGTCCCCTGGATAAATTTCATGAAAGATTTCCAAATCATTTGGAGTTTCCGCCTTTTTTTTGCTGGAATTCAAATTCAGGGTTTTGCACATGCTAAGCAAGCATTCCACCTACCACTGAGCTGCATCCTCAGCCCCACCTTTACATTTTAACATTTAGGTTTTTGTGGTTGTTTATTTTTGGTACCAGGGATCGAACTCGGAACCCAGTGTCTGCAAGGCAGGCAGCAGCACCACCGAGCTAAATCCCCAGCCCAACATTTAGTTTTTAATGAGGGTTTTTATTTAATTTTTACTAGTGTATATTAACAGTACATAACCAACATGTTCATCGTGGAGTTTCGGAACCTGTACGTATAGCATCTATTCTTCTTTACTTCCCCTTCTGTCCCTCCCTTCTCTTTCTCCCCCTAGATTCCCAGGCTGTGGAGCAGCTTATATTAAAATGTAAATGGGCTGGGGATTTAGCCCAGTGGTTCCAGTGCCTGCCTTGCAAGTGCAAGGATCTGAATTCGATCCCTGGTATCAAAAAAAAAAAAAAAAGGAAAGGCAGAGTCCTTACCTCACAGAATACACAAAATTTATGTAAATTAGGTAGACCATAGACTTGTAAGAGCTTAAACTATATAACTTTTACAAAAAGCCAAGGGAGTAAATCTTTGGGTAAATCTTAGTTATAATAACAAATACATAAGTGATAAAAGATAAATTTCATCAAAGTTTAAAATGGGACTGCCATAAAAAAATGGGGTTGCCAGGCATGTTGGCCCATGCCTGGATCCTAGAACTCAGGAGGCTGAGGCAGGGGGATCACCACGAGTTCAAGGCCAGCCTGGGCTACATAGTTCAAAGAACAAACAAACAAAAAAATTAAAATGGGGCTGATGGTGTACAGCTCAGTGCTAGGGTGCTTGCCTAGCATGTGGTAGGTTCTAGATTCTATCCCCAGGACTGGAGAAACAAGTATTTTAGGGTTGGGGATGTTGCTCAGTGGTGGAGTGCTTTCCTAGCATGCAAGAAGCCCTGAGCTCAATCCTTAGTATGCTCCCCTAATTTTTTTAAATGTTTGTGCTTCATCCAGGCATGGTAGTGCACACCTGTAAACCAGCATTCTGGGAGGCTGAGGCAGGAGAAATGAAAGTTTGTGGCCAGTCTGGGCAACTTGGCAACTAAACAAAACCCTATCTCAAAATTTAAAAGGCTGAGAATGCAGCTCAGTGTGACAGCTTTGGGTTCCACTCCTAGTACAAAAGGCTGAGACTGCAGCTCAGTGTGACAGCGTTGGGTTCCACTCCTAGTACGAAAGAAAGGAAAAGTAGTAATAAAAGTTTGTGTATCAAGGAACACTATCAAGGGAAAAAAGGAATATTTTCTATAAAAAAAACGAATATATTTGATAAGGGACTTGTGCCTAGAATATATAAAAGAACTCTTACAATTCAATGCTAGAAAGTAGCCCAAATCAAAACCAAGGGTCAGGCTGGGGTGTAGTTCTGTAGTAGAATATGCACAGAAGTCCTGCATTCCATGCCTAGAATTACAAAATCAAGGGAGCTGGTGGTCTAAATAGGTATTTCACCAAAGAAGACACACCCATGGCCAATAAGCATAAGAATGTTCAACATCATTAGTCATTAGACTACAAACCAAAACCACTTAGCACCTAACGGATGCCTATTAAAAAAAAAAAAAATGCTTTCCATGATCTGGAGAAATTGGTACCCTCATACATCGGTGAAAACACAGAATGGTGGGAAACTTTGGCAATTCTTCAAAACGTTAAACAGAATTACCATATGGCCCAGCAATTCCACTGGTAGGAAGATAGGCCTCAAGATAACAAGAACATGTACCCAAAATGTTCACAGTAGTGATCTGATACGAGGCTCATAATAGGCTAAAAGTGGAAACCACTCAAATGTCTGTCAATTGATAAACAATGGGGAGCGACTGCTGAAGGGTTTCAAGTTTCCTTTTAGAATAAGGAAAATGTACTAAAACTTTAATTGTGGAGATGGCTGCACAACTCTGCGAATATCTTGAAAAACATTAAATTGTCCACTTTAAATAGGTGAAATGTATAGTATGTGAATTATATCTCGATAAAGCTGTTTTGAAAAGACTGTGTAGCCCAGCGAGAACACCTGATGCCTTCCAAACACAGAACTGAAAAGGTGTTTCTCTTCCACGCTTGCTGGACTCTTTCAGGCCCGGCTCGACACTAACCCTACCGATTTTGAAGCAGCAAACGCAAGTCCGAGGACCCTGAGGCTCCTCTAGGACAGGAAATGGACCACTACATCCGGGCCGCTCAGTCTTTGGACAAACAGCGCCACGGCTCTGACGATCCCCATTGCCTCGTTCCTTGCCACTGTCGGCCTGGAGAAGCGCTTACCCAAGGCACAGGCCATGGCAGCGCCCACCATGCCTCCTCCTGATACCACCACATCGTACATGGTGTCTGCCGAGGCGCCGAACCACCTCCGGCAGGACACCAGCGGGATTCTGCGGGCAGCTGCAGACAGAGGACCGCAGCGACTCACAGTTAGCCGGGTCGCCATGACGGTGACCTGCGCCGTAGTACTGGGCCACCCGCCAGTCGCGCATTGGATAGTGCTTCCGGAGCAGAGTCTTCCAATCGCGCGACGCCTAAACCAGGTCCCCAAAACCGGAACTAAAACGCGCGAAGGAACTAGACCAATAAGAAAACGATTCTTGCCTCCTAGGGCGGGATGGATGGAAGGATGCCCTGAAATCCAATCAGAGACCAAAGCTAAAAAGGGGCGTGTCTGGCGCGGTCAGGGCCGCTGTCACTGCAGCTGCTCCTTCTGCCTGGCTGCGAAGATGACTGTGGGGAGGCCTGCGGGAGCCCCGGGCAGCGCAGAGTGCAGCCGTCAGGTGAGAAAGAAAGGAGACAGCAGGACTGTGCCCCGGAAACAAATCCCCAAGAGAGGAAACTGTTTTGCGTTGCCCTAGAGACAGAGGGCGGGGGCGTGTCAGGGAGGGGCATGGGATTAAAATTGGGACTGCGTTTAGGAGCTGGGATACTGAGTCTTGTCTTTCTGAGATTTAAACTACTTCTTGAGGCCATAGCAATGCACTGATTTTTGCCAATCCTCCTAACTACTCTATATCCAATACAGCCCCCCCCCACTTTATTTTTTGGTACCTGGGATCAAACTCTGGACCTTGCGCTTGCAAGGCAGGCGGCGAAACCACTGAGCTAAATCCCGGCCCTACAGTTCCCATTTTGTAGAAGAGAAAACTGAGGCAGAAAGAGATTAAGAAACTTGCCTCAAAATCCATAGACAGAAAGTAATTTTGTGGGGTTTAGTGCTGACGGGGTTGGGGGTACGGTGTGTGAGGTTAGGAGAGATAGGAAATGACTACTAACGGGTATGGAGTCTGAGGGACAATGAAAATGTTATAAATTTTGTGATAATTGCACAACTTTGACTAAAAAACACTTAATTATACACTTTAGTGAATTGTATGCTATGGAAATTATATCTTAATAAAACTTTAAGACGTAAGAGCCAGGCATGGTGGCTCACACCTATAATCCCAGCACTCAGGAGGCTGAGGCAGGAGGATTGCTGTGAGTTTGGGGCCATCCTGGACTACATGGCAAGACCCTGCCCCCCGCAAAGAAAGGCTGTGGTGACTTTCGTCAAGGTAGCCTGCCCTGCTTTCTCCAGGATGTCCTTTTTTTTTCCTTTTTTCCTTTTCTATTTTTACTTGGCCCATACTCACTCTGCAGAGCCAGTTTCTCCCTCACTCTTCGATGTTACTTTCTCAAATAAACATGGCCCCTGCTAAAAGAGGGTGGGAGGGAGAGGAGAGGGGAGAAGAAAAAAAAAAGAAATTAGAACTTTGTCCCGATGACAGACACATTCTTCAGTAACAGAGCAAGGCTGAAGCACACACAAACCTTTTCTGCGGGGGGCAGGGTACCAGGGATTGAACTTGGGACCTTTAGTTTGCTAGGCAGGCAGCAGAACCACTGAGCTAAATCCCTGGCCCTCACACAAACCTTTGACTCTGAATCTAGTATCTTTCCAGTATAACTACTGGACCTGCGCGAACCCAGTAAAATCATCACTACGTGTGACGTGGAGGGCTGTAACAGCCTGCCCTCACCTGGCCCTTCTCACCCTCTGCAGTCCCATCACGGGCCCATGCCTGCCTCCCTAAGGATGTCTCTTTCATGCCAGTGTTCTTCAGCCACAACAGCCCTCTTTTACCTCCACGAGACTCAAGTCTGTTCCTGCCTAAGACCTGCCCCATGGCCTTTGCATAAGCCTCGAACCCAGAACCCTCTTACCCAGATCCTAGCAAGGCTGACTCCTTCTCATCAATCAGGTGTTAATCCAAAATTCCTACGTAGTAAAAAAATAATAATAATAATAAATAAATTAAAATTAGGACTTAGAAAATACAAACACCCCAGTTTACAGTGGTTCAACTCATGATTTTTCAGCTTTCCACTGGTGGTCAATGAGAAAGTGATATACATTCAGTAAAAACTGTACTTCAGTTTTAAATTTTCATCTTTTCCCTGGCTAGCAATCGTATTTTCTCTCCATGCTGAGCAGTGAAAACAAGTTGTAGATCCCAGTCAGCCACATGCTCACAAGGAGGAACAGTTAATCCTCTGTCGGCAAGGACGTTTGGTGGGTTAGGTATGTTAAATGCATATTTGACTTCTGATATTTTCAGTTTAAAATGGATGTATTACTGTAAATCAAGGAGCATCTGTCTAACTGGGACAGAAAATAGTATTTCTTTGGGACCTTGATGTAGCTGTGAAATTTCTAACAGCCCTTCTTCTAAATGATTATGCTTACTTACCAGTTACCTGACATGGCTTTGTTCCTCTCACCTCTTCAATAAAAACTGCTCCCTCATCCACTTACTAACTGTCCCTACTTCATGACAGCACCCATCCAGATTTTATCTCTCCCCCACTAATCCTCCTCAAAGTCAGTCAGGGCAGTGACGAATGCCTCTTGGGAGGCTGAGGCAGGAGAATCATAAATCTGAAGCCAACCTGAGCAACTTGGTAAGACCCTGTATTAAAATTTTAAAATAGGGCTGGGGATGCAGCTCAGTGCCGTCCAGCCTGTCTATCAAGCGCAAGGTTCTGAGTTCAGTCCCCAATACGGGGGTCAGAGCCAGCCTTGAACTCACAATCCTCCTGTGTCAACCTCCCAAGTCCTAGGATTACAGGTATGCACCATCATACCCTGCCCAAAATAAAATATTAAAAAGGGTCAGGGAAAATAGCTCACTGATACCAAGTTCTTGTAGTTTTCCTGATGTACTAAGAGAAATCAACCTAACCCTAATGATAGGTACATTCCTGGTGACCCTCATGGGCTTTGTCAACAGGAAAGATTTCTGTAGAACTGCATTACTCTATAACCTCACACTGTTTATTTTATTTTATGTTTTTGTCTTCTCTCACTGGAGTGCAAGATTCATGAGACTAGAGACTATGTTTGTGTTGTTCTCAGATGGTATCCTACAAGTGTTTTCTGTATGAATAAATGAATAGAGTTTTGCTACTGTTTTACAGTGCTGGAAATCAAACCCAGCCCTCGAGTATAGGAGACGAGTGCTCTACCACTGAGCTGTACCTGACCCCTGAATGAAGCACGTAAAAGCTGGCTGGGTGTCACGCATTCTGTCATGGTGTTCTTTCAGCCAGGCCATGTCACCTCTCCTGTTAATCATAGTTAGAATAGAGGAAATCAGGGATATGGGAGGAGAAACAAGAGAAGGAAAATGGGTAGCAAGTATGTAAATCTCGGGTAAGACAAGATGCAGTTTAAACAATGTTGTGGGCACGATGTATGGTGATTAGTACTCTGTAAATGTTAACTGCACCACATGGTACAGGGACCAGCTTTTGCTCTTCATTGCACTTTCCTGCCCTTCAACCAAACACACCTATATATCACACAGTGAAATTTCTTTACAGTGAGGAACACATCTTATTTTATGGCTTTTGTTTTGTTTTTGGAGACAGGGTCTCATTACATAGTTCAGCTGACCTTGAACTCACTCTATAGCCCAGGCTGGCCTCAAACTCAAGGTGATCCACCTGCCTCAGTCTTCCAAGTGCTGGGATTACAGGTGTGCATCACCATGCCCAGCTAACAGTTGTGCTTTGAAGATGTTTGAAAGTATAGTTTAACCCATGAGTTTTTTATTTCTATTCCATTTTAGATATTCCCTCCTAAATCTTCCTCAGACACTGAGGCAGAAGATGAACTTTCTGGGGATGGGTTGGTGTTGCCCAGGGCTGGCAAACTCCATGAGTTCCTCAGCCCAGAAGAGGAGGCAGATTCTACTTCTGACTCAACTGAGAGCTTTTGTGAGACCCTACATATTCTAAAGCAGAAAGGCGGATGGGGACTGCTGGAGTCCCTCTTTTCCTCTGACCCAAACAGTGATGAGAACGTCTCTGAAGATGAGGACCTGGAGAGTTTCTTCCAGGACAAGGGCAGGGGGAGGCCACAAGTATGGCGCCCTTCGTCTCAGAGGTAAGGGCTTGTGTCAACAGCTGCCTCACCCTGCCACTCCAGGCAAGTCACGCTGTCTCTTGGGCCTCACTCCCTTCCTGCGCCCACTCCTGCTGCCTCCCGAGGCTCCAGGTTAGATCAATTTTGGGGACCAAGTATGTGTCCCATTTCCCACTCAGTAAGGCTAAATCTCTCTGGGCAGCTCTCAGTTCAGTGAAGCATTCGAATTAATTAAAGGGATACCTTTTCTCAACACTTTCCCCCCAAGAATGACAAGGTACGTTGGCCTCAGTTGTCTGTACATGCATGTGTGCTTTATCTCATTTAATACTTACTTTCTCCTCCCAATACCCTTGTAAATGGATGTCATTTTTGCCATTTTACATCTGAAGAAATCCAAAACTTGAATGTTTGAAGCAAGGTTTTAATTTGTTCTGCCCCATTGCAGTTTCTCATATACAGACATTGAGTGCAGTTGGGTATAATCCCAGGACTGCTGAGGCAGTAGGATCACTGAGAGGTTGAAGCCAGCCTGGTCTACATAGTCAGTTCAAAGCTGGCCTAAACAACATAGTGAGAAAAATAAAACACAAATACAGAGTACAGACTGGAAGTTTATGAATCACTTCTGAAAAGAGCTCCTACTGGGCAGCAGAGTTGCCCATGGGAGGAAGGAGGCCTGTGGGGCTGAGATCAGGCCAAGAGATGAGCTGTGACCTGCCAGCCAGGGCAGCCTGGGGAAGAGGATGAGGGAACAGCCAGGCCCTCCTGACTACCTTGTCCTCCTTACACAGATCTGGTTTCTCCCTCAGGTGTGGTTCCAGGAGGCGCTGCAGTTCCCTGAGCAGCCTTCCCTGTGACACTCCCAAGGCCCAGACACAGCTTGTCTCGGGCTCTGCCCCTCCTTCCCAGCACAGAAGCATCAGCTCCTGGGCATCCTCAGTCACCGTCCCTCGACCATTCCGCATGACATTGCGTGAGGCCCAGAAGAAAGCCCAGTGGTTGGCCTCGCCTGCCTCCTTTGAGCTGGAAAGGCAGAAGGCCCAGAGGCAGGGGCAGGAGGAGGCCGAGTGCCACCAGCAGTTCCGGGCACAGCCCGTGCCAGCACACGTCTACCTGCCCCTCTACCAGGAGATCATGGAGCGCAGTGAGGCCCGGAGGCAGGCAGGGATCCAGAAGAGGAAGGAACTGCTCCTCTCATCCCTGAAGCCCTTCAGCTTCCTGGAGAAGGAAGAGCAGCGAAAGGAAGCTGCTCGACAGAGAGACTCGGCTGACACAGATAAGACCAAGGTCTCCAACAAGAAAGCCACCCGAAGGATCCCAAAGTCTGTTCTGGAGCCAGCCCTTGGGGACAAACTTGAAGGTAAAGACATCCTTGTCACACTGTCACCACGTGCTTGGGGACACCGAGAGGCACTGTTGGGATTCAGTGAGCCTGGCCTGGAGACAAGCTCTTCAAGTGGACCCACTGGAGGCCACATGCTCGGTGCAGCCATGAGGGAGGTTAGAGAGCCTGTGAGGCTTATGGTGATCCCCATGGCGCTTCCTGTGAGCTCTCAGTGGACCCACATGAAGGCCTCTGTGCCACACTAGTACAGGAGCACCCAAGGACCACTGAGGCTAGTGTCACTTCTAACCGGCTGCCCCTAGGAAGCTCCCAGTGCCACCCTCATCTTGGTGAGGTAGTTACAGGTCACTGAAGTTACTCGGGATGATTATCAACATGTTTCAAAAAGTATTGTCCTCTGGGGGGATGGGAATGTAGCTCAGTGGTAAAGCACTCACCTGGCAAGTGTGGAGCTTGGGGTTCCACCTCTAGATCTTCAGAAAAAACAAAGTACAGCTCAGGCTTTATTTATTCTTCGGTCTTTCGTGCAACTCTTAGAGCACTATTCTGTGGTGAGCAAACAGACATGGAGTTTGTAGGCAAGGAGCAGGGCTGATAAGAGACAAATCACTACCGATGGGATAAGTTGTGCGCAAGGGTTGACAGGGGAAGCATGAGGATCCTATGAGCATAAAAGAGGGACTAACTCAGGTTGTAGTGAAAGGGGGAGCAGCCCAGGAAGGATCCCAAGAAAGTCGACCCTGGGAGGGTGTTGGTGAAGACAGAGGAAGAAGGGGGCAGGCAGAGATGTGGCATGGAGGTAAGAAGCTGAGAGGGTTAGAGAAGAGGGAGAAAGGGGACACATGGGCCCGTTTTGAGGGAGCCTCATGGGCCACTTAAGGAGTTTGGACTTGGTCCCAAGGGCACTGGAGAGCCACTTTAAGTAGGGTGGCTCATGACCAGATACACAGTTCCCAAAAGTCCCTCTGATTGTTGCATGGATAATTGGAGGGTGGAAAGACTGGATGGATGTTGATCTATCCTCTTTCTTCCAAAATAAGACCTAGCTGGAAAATAATCAGCCTTGAAAACTAGAGAGAAACAATGCCAGCCCCAATCAGCCTATCCTTGCCTCACCTGCCTTATAGAGCAACCACTGAGCAAGAGAATTATGAAGGCGGGGAGGCTGATTATCTTCCAGCTAGGTCTTATTTTGGGGGAAACATGGTAGGAGGTCATTTCAAAAATCACAACTGAAAAATTATGGTGCTAGTAGCAAGGACAGTAAAAATAGAGAAAAGTTCAAGAGGAGGAAATGGAGAAGCTATGCCTGATGAGAGGAAAGGAGGAGGTGTCAGGAATGATTGGAGTAGAAGGAATGGGTGGCTGATGGGGCCCTTTTCAGAGACCAGGGAGCCAGGGAGCAACGCAGGTGGCTGGCCAGCTTCTTTCTGCCCTGCCCTGGAGAAGGAATTTAGAAAGTGCTCCCTAGGTGTTGCCAGGAGCTGCATCCGCAACCTGATTGGCATAGCCATGGTGTCCTGGTCACTGAGTATTCATGGGCATCCCAGAAAAGAAAAAAACAGCCAACTGGTTTGTAATGTTTGCCATTTTCACTCCTGTTTGTTAATTGCAAACTTTCCACATGGGGTCAACAGACTCACCAAAGTCCCAAACATTAACAGCTGGCTTCAGCGCACTATCGCTAGTACTTAAAAGAGGGGAAGTTCTCCAGAGCTTTTGGTGTGGAGCTTGGGCCCTCCTCACCCATCACCACCCTGACTCTCCACAGAAGCTGAGCTCTTCAGGAAGATTCGTATCCAGATGCGGGCCCTGGACATGCTCCACTCGGCCTCCTCCCCTGTCCTCTCGAGTAGCCGGCCTGACTCGCAGCCCCGCACAGCCGCCCGAACTTGGGAGAAGAAGCTTGGCTTCTTGCAGACCAATTTCGGGTTCCAGCCTCGGGTGAATCCTGTCATCCCTGACTACGACGGCCTCTACAAGGCTTTCCAGAGCAGAGCTGCCAAGAGAAGGGAAACCCGAGAGGTGACCCACAACAAGCCTTTCTCTCTGAGGACCGCCAACCTGCGCCACAGTCCACGGTCCTGTGACACTTCAGCCGCTGAAGGGAGGCGGGTGAGAGCCTGGGCAGGTGCAGGAGGTCAGGACCCAAGGCCTGAAGTACAGGTGGACCCAGGTCTCCAGAAAGCACTTTTCATGACATCTTCTATCATAATTAAACAAAACAACAACAAAATACCAACTCAGTTACAAATGCATCCACATAGGAAAACTTTTTTGTTCCTCTCTCTAGAGGGGTTTTACATAAGTAAATCCAAACAGGTTTGGGAGGCTGAGAATTGGGATCAGTTGCTTTTATCCCTGGACCAGTTTCAAGGAACACTTCTCATTTGATTGACAATTTTAGGATTGGGCCAGGATTTAGCTCAGTGGTGCTGCTACCTGCCTCGCAAGCACACGGTCCTGAGTTTAATCACTGGTACCAAAAGGAAAAAAAAAAACAAAAAACCTTTAGAATATATCCAAGTCTTGGCCTGGTTACTAAACTTGAAGTCTCACTATCCATCTCTTATTCCCAGGGAAAAAAAATGGAAGATTCTCATTTTCAGTCTTTCACTGAAACTGAATCCTCATTAAGACCGAACCCAGTACCACATGCTGTCATACCAATACCAGCCTTCCTTTCTCCTAGGGTTCCCTACAGCCACCAGCTGCGCCCCTGCCCAGGAGTTGTTCTCTGAGCGGCCTTGCTTCGCTCTCTACCAACACCCTCCCTGTGCACATCACAGATGCTGCCAGGAAGAGGGAGTCTGCAGTCAGGTGAGTGGTCAGCCACGCAAGGCTCACGGTGCTTTGATCTGGGACCAAATGCTGGACCCCACCCTGCCGCTGGGCCACCTCCGCTGTTATCAGAGACACCTGAGGAGGTTGAAGGGATTCTGGGACCGGAGCAGAATAGGTGTGGCTCTTGTGCCTGGAGTGAACAAGCACCCAGCCATCTCAGCAAACACTCATGGGGACTTATTCTGTGCAAAACACGGTGAAAATGTCAGGAAAACTGCAGTGTAATGTGCAGCTGGAAATACAGAAAAGTCAATGAGCAATCATGTTTTGTAAGGAATGCAAATATGGAGGCTTATGAGGGCCCTGGGGAGCTGGGGTGGAGTCGCTTGTCTTTTACAGTAATGTCAGAGATGAAACTTGAAGAATGAGGAGTTAGCAAGATGGGCTAGAGAGAATACAGACAGAAAATGTATAAAAGCCCGTATATGAAGAGGAAGGTGGCCATGAGGGAAAAAAGAGGTCAGAGAAGCCTGAATGCAGATGGCTGAGCCTGCCACAAAGGAGATAGGCATCACCAGATTTCTTTTTTCCAGTACTGAGGAATGAATCCAGGCCTTGCAATGAGCTGTAACCCCAGTCCTTTTTTTTTTTTTTTAAGACAAGGACCTCACTAAATTCCCCAGGCTGGGCTTGGATTGGATTGTGATCCTCTTTATTTTTTGAGACAAGGTCTCCCTATCTTCTTATGTAGTTCAGGCTTTTCTTGAATTCATTATGTAGTCTCAGGCTGACCTTGAACTCTCAGCAATCCTCCTGCCTCAGAGAGTGCTGGGATTACATGTATGCACCACCATACCCAGCTCAGTGTCAGATTTGAGGTGCTCTGAGCTTTAGGGGTAGAAGAAACCAGGAGCCTGTTTTTTTTTTTTTTTTTT